GAAATATACCAATCGGATCAGAAAAAAAATTCTCTACAAGATAGGCTATTAAAAATCGACTGCCCTATTAAAATAAAAAAGCTGGGCATCGTGACAGATGACTTCCCGCGGGCACAGATATGACCTTAAAATCGCTATAACTTTTTAAATTGGGTTATTTAGCAAAAATTGAAAGCGGGTTCGGAATCAGCAAAAAATTCTACACAAAATAGGCTGGGTCCCATAACGAAACGCCACCTTGACCTTAGGTGGTTCCCTTGTAAGCCTAAGCCTAGGCATAGATAGAAAACTAAGCTAAGCATGAGCTAAGCCTATCCCTGAGCCCATGCCTACCGAAGCAGAAACCAAGACCTATGCGGAACCTAAACCAAAGCAAAGCTTAATCAGAAGCCAAAGTGAAGCGGAGCCTGATCGTTAGCCTACTGAAGCTTAGGACTAAGCTAAGCCAAATCTAAGCTCCTTCCGAGGCTAAGCTTCGAAGCTAAAGCCGAAGTTCAGGATCTGCCAGATCTAACAATTGTAAGCCTAGGCCTAACAGCAACTTGTAAGCATGAGCTTATGGCCCAAAACCAAAGACGATGTAGCAGGAAACGTCGCAGATATAAAAATGATGCTAGGCAACCCCAAAAGAGCTCCCCCATTTCCGGTTGTACAACGTTAGACTGAAGCACCAAATAGCGAAACGAAAAGCCGAAGCGAATTGCACCAAATCCCCACGATGCATAGCCCCCTACAAAAATTACAAGCAGCCCGTAGCTGGTTGCTACTCTTTTTACTACGATACGGCTGTGGGGGAAAAGAGAGGGGGCGCTCGGGGCGGCAGGCCGATAATCTGTGCATGCATATTGGTCTGTGGAAAGTGAGAGAGAGAGCGAGAGAGAGAGAGAGAGAGAAGCGCACAGTGTGCCCCGCGGGCATGCACAGCCCTCCCGAAATAACAGCGTTTTCTGTGTGCCCCCCTCCTCTCCCCGGGACTCGTGTGCCAATCGGCACTGTATAGAAATGTCCGAAAGCCGAAATCGGTTAAAATACCGACAGCCAAAATGTCGACAACCAAAATGGCGATAAAAATCCGATAGGAAAAATCCCGACAGGCCGAAATCCCGAAAAGCAAAATATCGACAGCGATAATCCGGCTAATAATCTCGTCATCCAAAATACCGACGGCCATAATCCCGGCAGCCTTAATCCCGATAGCAAACCCCGACAGCCAAAATGCCGACAGGAGAGGATGAGAGAGAGAGAAAGGGAGAGAGAGAAAGAGAGAGAGAGAGAGAGAGTTAAGAATTAAAGGAAAAGGCTCGGTAAAGGTGTGTAAATTTTCAAACTTAATTTCGACGTTAAAATCAATTGGTCAACTATTTTTGCCTCGGCGGAAACAGTATAATATCGTACTTCTAGCCCTATCTATTCCGCATAGCGACTATCCCCCACCACACCCAAGAATGGATTGCCGGAGAAACCGAATCCGTGGTGCCGGAAAATGGCTGTGTGAAAGCCGTGGAGAGAGAGAGAGAGCGAGGGAGAGAGAGAGAGATAGAGAGGAGAGAGAGAAAGAAAAAGAGACGGCAATAAGATGGGGGAAATGGGCGAAAAACTTTCTGGCGCTGGGGCATTTGCATGCAAATACTCGGTGGGCGGCTCGTGTTTCGTGCCTCCTCCCGTTTCTCACCCCTTCCTCCTCTTTCTCCCCTATTTTCCATTTTATTCCATACCAAATACACACAGACAACAACCCCCCTTTTGGTCGACGGGCTCAAAACGCACAGCTGAATGGACACAGTTCTGATACACTCGACGGTGAGGGGGGGCAGCACTCCCCGCTTGTGTCCACTATATAGCGGTTTTGGAGGGTTGGAAATTTTAGGGAAAAGTTACTGTATAGCTGACCGTGATTTCAAATTTTTCTGGATGGCGTTTTCAGCAACACGTGACGCTCACGCACCGCTTAAACCTGCTGCAGATGTGGGATGGAGCAGAATGGAACTCGTGCTCATTGCTTGTGCCTGCGCGTAGAAAAACGATAGGCGAGAGCAAGAGCTAGTCAAAAAATTGATTTCCAGCCATAATCCCGACAGCCAAAATGTCGACAGGCCAGAACCCTGACTGAGAAAATCCCAATATATCCTTGCCGTGAGTTTGAATCCCGAAAATAAAAATCCCGACAGAAAACCACCCCAGCAACCATAATGCCGACAGGTCAAAATCCCGACAGCCAAAATCCCGACAGGCAAAAAGCCCGAATGGCCATAATCAGGGGCGTAGCTAGAAAAAAATTTCGGGCAGGGGGGCCCCCAAAAAATTTTTCCAAAAACTCAAAAGATTAACGAGAAAACAGCGCCGCAGGCAAAAATTTTTGAAAACAAGGTTCCATAGCTCTACAAATAGCCGTAAAAACGGAAAAAAATAGCGCCGCAGGCAGCAAAATTTTTGAGAAAATAAAAATCATAAGGGTCCCCCCTTATGAAATTTTCGGGCCCCGGCCGATTTCGGGGGGCCCGGGCCCCCGGGGCCGGTATTACGCTACGTCCCTGGCCATAATCCCGACAGGCCAAACTCCCGACGGCCATATTCCCCTTATCTGAAAACCCGACAGCCATCATCCCAACGACTAAAATGCCGACAGCCGAAATAGCGTCAGCTAAAATGCCGACAGGCGAAAATGCCGACAGCGAAAACCTCGGCAATTTCTTGCTTTTGCCACTTGCTTTCAAACAGTTATTTTGCCTGTAGGGAATTGGACTGTCGAGATTTTGGCTGTCGGGATTTTGGTTGTCGGCATTTTAGCGCTCCCCCAAAAATCCATAGCCATACCCGAATATCGGGAGTAACTAGGAGTACTTAAACGAGCTTAAATTTTCCAACTTCCAGATCTTCAAGACCTATCTTGTTAAAACAAGGCAATTAAGAGAGCGAATCCTTAAGGTACCCGTTAAAATTTACGAAAATTCTGCCGCATAACAAAAGCCAAAAACGGACATGATTCCGAGGAGATATTCCCCTCGGCTCGACGACAAAGCCACCGGTTTGGACCCCCTTGTGCGGGCAAAAAGCGACGACGACACTCGAGGGATGCGGGACGCGCAGAAGGGAGGAGGGATAGAGGGGCATTCAGCAGCCGGATATAACTGTGAACGGAGTGGTCAAATATGGTTTGAAAATTAAGATTTGGTAGAGGAGTAGAAAGCAAAAATTCCAAGACTTTCCGGATTTGGTGTGAAAGTAGCGACCGTGCTTTGTACTGCCTCGGAGGCGGCGCTCCCGGATTTCGGACAGTAATATTTGCTCGGGAGAAAGAGAGAGAAAGAGAGAGAGAGAGAGAGAGAGAGAGAGAGAGAGAGAGAGAGAGAGAGAGAGGGAAAGAGAGATAGTGCGAGCGAGAGATGGAGCGCGATAGAGTGAGAGCGAGAGAGAGAGTGAAAGTGATAGCCAGGGATTGTGAGAGATAAAGAGAACGAGAGTAAGAACAAGAGCGAGAGATGGAGATAGATCGAGTGAGAGAGTGAAGTGCGAGACTGATAGCGAGAGAGAGAGAGAGAGACGAGAGAGAGAGAGAAAGAGAGAAAGCGAGCGAACGACGCAGAGAGAGAGATAGCGAGAGAGAGAGGAGAGGGAGGAGGAGAGAGGAGGGGATGAGAGAGAGGGAAAGCTATTTTAAAGGAACAGAGAAGACTGGACCCAGCGAAACCTTCCGGAAAATTCGCACATCTTGCAGGGTCCTTTAAAAAGACCTAAATCCCTCAACAAACTCTCCTAAACCATTCAAAAAGGTATTTCCAGGCGCGTGAACCTAAAAGTTTGCCGACCGCTGAAGTTTGGCCGGGCGCCCGGGCGATGATTGCTCGATGCCAAAAATGGCCCCAACCCCTCCACACCCCATACTCGCAAACACACTTGACTCACCTATCCACGACTGGAGAAGCTCGCTGCTCCCATCCCAGACACCCACAACGCACAAACACACACATTTGCATAGCTGTCAAGAAGGCGGGTGACAATCCTACGCGGGCCCAGGGAAAACACGACCGGGAAGTACGCTGTCTAAAGCGCGCCCTAGCTTACTGCTGCATTTCTCTGTACAGTAATCCCGCGTAGGCTTCGGTTTTGTGTACCCCCCCCCCCGCTAACAGCCCAGTACTCACGTAGTGTATTTTGTAGAGGCAGTAAAATGTATATTTTAATGCCACAAAGCCATATAATTTATCACATACACGAAAATGCCACTCAAAACTTTTAGCGAAGCCCGAGGGCCAGCCGCGACGGTGGAGGCAGCCCGAATTCGGAACTGAAATTGTAATTTGAATACCGAAAAACCTCGAAATTAAAGGGCTTGGCAAGGCAGTGATATGGATTTTGGGCTGAGATACGAAACGTATAGTCTCTTAGCTATAATTTAACTATTTTTAAATGGATAAATCCATCAAAAAATGCCCAATTTTGAAAATGGACCATTTCTTGAGCAAAAATTTGTATTTTCTGTATTCCTGTATCCCGCTCAAGTAAAACCACGCGCGTCTAGACCGCAGGAAATCCATAGCTGTGACTTGCTCACTAAAAATCTTGTTGCTGCTCCCGGCCAGCCGTACTGCTCGTTGTCGCTGGCGGCGCTGGTGGGTAAGGAGGCGACGGGCTTACCTGGCCTAACTGGTTCGCCGAAAATGGTATATTATTTAATTGGGAGGGCTGTGGGTACGGGATTGTACTTTGGGTGGCTGCCATGGGATGGTAGTTCGTTTGGGCATAGCTCGGGGGGAGGGGCACCGGATTTTGAGGCGAAAACTGAGATTGGGGCATGATATCGGCTAAAAATGGGTTGGTGGAAGCGAATTGGGTGGGATACGGCGGGTTGGGATTTGAAGTGAGTATTTGATTCTGGGGAGGATGAGAGGGGGTAAATTGGGGAGGCGGGGAGGGCCAGTCTTCCGCTTCATCTGGAGTGGAATATCTGGGGTTGGCGAGGCCGGGTAGTGGAACTCCTTGGATACGTCGGGGGTGGCCTAGCGGTCCCCGCTGAGCATCCAGTTGATCTGAAAATCGTACACTTGATTAGAGTAAAACATTTTCTAGTTGCTTGCGATTTTTTCGACATTGAATTTTGTCGAAATTTCATGTTGTAGACCATCATAAATCTTCATCATCGCAAACAAACAAATTCAAATTTCAGCCTACTAAAATTTTGAGAACATGAGTTTCGACACCCGAATTCCGAAAAAGTGCCAATAAACCATTATAGGGTTAGAAAGATGGAGCACCAATTATTTGTTAGATAAGCCAAAAAACCCCTGAGTTTTTCCCGGTACTTTTCTTTTTTAAAATAAAAAATTAAAAAAATTTTTTTTAAATTTAAAAATTTAAAAAATATACCACATTTTAAACAGTGAAAGATTTTACCATTTTTGCTCATTTTTCATACATTTTTCGCCACAAAATCAAAAAATTCAGTAACTTTTTATGAGCTTTCGTGTTTAAAAACTGCATAGAATTCTGCAAGAAATATTTCGAAAGGATACATGGCATTATTGGGATAAGATTATCCCTCCTTCCCCCGCCAAAGAACAAAGCATGTCCAATTACACAAGCAACACCTAAAACACACAAAAGTACGCCAAAACTACGCGATGCTACACTGGAAAATGCGCACAAAAATTCTGCGATAGCTCGAAAAGAGTGCTGTTAGTGCAAAAAGAAAGCGACAAACTTTGTGCCGGAGACACCCCGAAAGTGGTGGTGTGCCTTGGGAATTCGCTGGTCGAAATGAGGCTCTCCTCGGCGGGTAGATTCGAGATGTCAGCCATGTTATTCTGAAGAAACCAAGGAGGCATGCAATCCAAGAAAAACGACCCAGTACTTACGAGCTCATTTTGCACAGACTCGTCCAAATCCAAGTCGTCGCCGGTTAGAAGATCGCGAATTGGTTGGATGGCTAAAGGAGTGTGGCGGAATGAAGCAAAGGGCCGTTGGGCGTCAAATCATTAAATATAATCAAAATACACGTTTTAGATAACTTTTTGGCACCATACTTTTCATCGAAACTTTTTGAGAAGTTGGTGCAGGTGCAAAGGTGTAAAAATCGTATTTAAAAACAATTTCCACCTACCAGTGGATGTCGCTGGGTTTGAAGCAACAAACCGAAGTGGTGTAACTGGCGACGGGGAAGCGGATAGCGCCTAAATAATTTTTATTGCGTTTCGGTAAAAAAAATACCCGACTGCCACCAGCTCGCTGTTGTTCTTCTTCGGCTAGTCGCTTGGCCAATTCTTCATCACGCTTCAGCTGTAGCTCTCTAAAAAAGGCTCGCTTACGTAAAGTCCCTAAAACAACAAAAAAATTCGATTTACTGTTTTAATCTGTTTAATTCTATAAAACCCAGTCAAAAACATACCTCATCATTTTCGCCTCACGCTCAATTTCCGCTTGCAACTGCTGCGCAACTCGTTCATCGTGTGCCGTACTGAATTTGCCATTTGAAAGCTTTTTTTTGTGAAATAGGAGCTTTGGAATTATCGGGGAGCTTTTGCCTTAGGCTCTAATATTTATCATATAAATAGGTCGTATTTCTAAACGGTTCTTACTTTCCCTAAACGTGCAAATATTCCAAAGTTTTATTAAAAAAATGCGAAACATTAGATTGTTCAACCAAAAACATCGATTTTCAAATATCAAAAACATGACTGAATCACTTAGGATTATATTACTAGGTATTTCTGTATTTACAGGAAAAGTTACCAGCCCCTCCCCCCCGATAAGGCAAATGGCCCAAAAACTCACATAGTATCCAACGTTCGAATATGCCGAAATCTAGCTTCTTCTCGTTCGCGCTGCTGCTCGCCCCTGCTTTGCCGGGTATCTTGGCCAACTAGTTGCCTAAATCGCGTCAGATTAATCCATTTTTTTCAAACCGTTCCGCCCGATTTCTCCCATAGTGCGACATGTATTCTTGTTCCTGAAGTTGAAACGCCAAATTGTGATCCTCAAATAACCGCATCCGCGCTCGAACTAAAATCATATGCGTCGAATTATACCCTTTGATGTTACCTGCAGCTGCATCGATATTACTTTCGTCTCGTTGTTGAGAAGTCATTTTCTAAAGGGCCTTGTTAAAGCTGAAACAGTAAAGTAAATAAATCAATGAGATATCGTCCCGAAAAAGGACCCAGAATATTCTCGACACCGTGAGTCAGAAGGTGACGCGGCGATGAGTCGAGCGAACGGCGTATCTTTTGATTTCATAACTAGTGAAATTTAGAAAGGTATCAAACGTTTGGTATAAAAATCAGAAAAAGATAGATAAAGCCTGCATAACGAAAATAAACCCTTTTGAGAATAAAAAAACGGCTAAAATCCTAGTTTTCCCGGAGCGCATGTGATCTCGTAAACTTATCGAGTAACGCTGATAACGACCAGATGCGACGCCGAATCAATGGCTCAAGTTCGCAGTGATTCAGAGTTGGGAAAAGTAAATAACAAGGAAATGTTAGAGTTTTTCAAACGTATTTCAAGAACAAGAAGTTTATCAAATTCAAAGAAAAGGAAGAAAAGAAACGTTCTTAACGTCACGCTTGTTTCCCCCGGGGTGGCTTTCATAAAGTCATGTGACCAGGCGTGGGATCAATCAATCCCAGGGGCTTCACAAGGGACGCCTAGTGCAAACGTTGAGGCTGTTTTTCGCCACCACCCCTCCACCATTCACCCTCTGGCGCCGGCGGCGGGCTGTCCGGTTTCCGCGTGTGGAGAGGCCAATAACCCGCGAATAAACCATGGTAGAGCGACAATTTGGGTTAGTGGGCGCTTTTCGTGTAATAGTTGTAGATTTTGGCCTTTTCATGACGTCGAAATCGAATAAAAAAAATATTAGAATTGAAATACGGTACACGATACACCTATCAACGTATATTCGTCCATAGGTGTGTTCGGGAATTATTCCGGGTGAAAATTTTCATGAAGTTTGGAGTATAAAAAAGGTTGAGAAGTGCATTTTGAAGGAAAAAAAATTTCATTCTTGGATTTATTAGTAATTCTCAAATTATCTTACTTTTTCAGGGTGCAAGATGCTGTTCCAAAGCCTCACCTGCGGCGGCTGCCAAGTGCCGTATGATCCGGAGGAGGAGATGGCGCACACGCCGAAGTACACCCCCGCCGATGGTTCGGTCCGCTGTGGCAGATGCGAGCCCGATCTTCCTGTTGCCTGGCACGTCCTTCACTTGATCCAGTTGCCGGGAATGAAGAAGACCAAGCTCGGCTACGTCTGCGAAGGTGCCCCGCCGTTTCCGAAGTGCACCAAGTGTGATGAGTACTTCAAAGATTCGAGTGAGACCCGTGTTCTGCCGTGTGCTCATCAGATCTGCACCGGATGTATCACCAAGCATAAGGACCAGCAGGCGATCGGTTGCACCATGTGCAAGCAAGTGACCAACGCTACTGCCATCCGAGAGTCGCCCTTGTTCAAGAACTTCTACAACAATCTCTCGTTGATGAGCCTTGAGAAAATGCGGGAAACGATTTCCTCGAATCGTCAGAGCTGTGAGGGATGCCACTCGCTGTTGCCGATCGAGAGCTTCTTCTTCTGCAATGACTGCAAACTCCGTGTCTGTGGCATTTGCACCTTTACGGGCCATAAGGAACACGCGGACGTGGTACGGCTTCTCCACACTGAAAATGCCGCTCTTGAGAAGGCAACGGTCAAGAAAATCAACACGATTTATCAGGACCTAAAGGGCAACATCCAGGACTTGCATGAGGAGCTGACCGCTACCCTGACGCGTCTTCACAATGCGCTTTCGAAAAGCATTGGAGACATCCGCCACCAGGAGAAGTACAACGATTCCAAGTCGATCGTCGACCAAGTCCAGGGCATCACCACTTTGTTCTCCGAGCGCGTCGAGGAGTACTTTCCGGCCGTCCGTGAATTCAACGTGCACCTCAAGGACCTTTGCGATAAAATCGAGGTGAAAGCTGACTAATTCGTTGCTTTATTTGTTATGCATACGCTTTTGTTAATTTTAATAAAGTTGTTGAGTTTGAACGTCCACCAACTGCTGGCTGATCGCCATGGGGATTCTGGTCGGCTCTCAAATACGATTGCGAAATTTTGGAATGCAGTTTGCGGACGAAAGTTTGCTCGGCGGAGAGACCCTTATTGCATTTTCAAAGCGCAAAAAATCCGTTCCCATTTTTGGCCGAGGGATGTTTGAGCTTCTTATATGATTTGCGTGGGGGTTTTGAATGTGAAAAAGGTTTCTTAGGCGTTAGAGTGATTTTGAAAATGAAGATTTTTATGTTATTTTATGCCTTTTTAACGCGCGAATTTATTTTCTTTAGTTTGGAAGCTTTTAATTTTAGCCACTTCTCTTCTTTTTTGGGTTAAGAAAGTCTTTGGCGGGTTTTTCAGACCTTTTTACCGAGTTGAAGATCTTATGCCTTTTTAGAGGGCGATTAATGAAGCTTTCGAATATTCTAGGACCGCGAATTTGCCTTTTTTTCTGGTCGAAAAAGTCTAGCTTTAGTTTTAAGAAATTTTGGCGATAAGTTACATCCGCCCGCCATTTTTGGGCCCTGCGCCGCTAGCCTTTGTTTGCGGCCATTTGTTGACCAACTTGCAACTGGTGCATGTTTCTTTTTGCAAGGGCTGCCACACCCGGATCTCCCCCGCAGCGACAATGGTCGTTAGTCTGGCCCTTCAATTCGTCCCATGGCTTCATCCTCCCCTCGCGTCGAGACGACGGGCTGATGACAGCTCGACGCGAATCTCGGCAATTCCAAGTCGGCTGATGTGTTGAATGGTGTCTCGTGGCGGGCTTTATTCTAGTGCTGAACTACTTTGCGGGTGAAAGCGTGAAAGTACCCTTTTAGCAAGTTAGCAATGGAATGATTAGCTTTTTTTCACAAATTTAAACGTCTAGGCCATTAGCAATTTATAGCGATGATCTTTGGCTTCATTAGCTAAATTTTGTTGCGAGGATCTGGAGATTCTTCGCATTCTTGCTCGTGAAAGGCGCCAAGGCTATTCCCAGGGAGCACTCCGCCTAATTATATGATGTCCAAATATGATTCAGTGCCTCAGTAGACTTCCTCACAAGCTTCCCTAGGTCTCCTTTTGACCTGACGAAGCCAATTCCTGACATTTAGCTGTTGACTTTCAGTGGCAGCCAATTTTTGACAAATATATCTCTAGAAATCTCTCTAGAAATACGGGCTCTACTCGCGGGGAAAAGCTGGGCAATAGCGGCATACATTAGCCACCGAGGGCTATCATCCATCTTCCGGTCCCCCCGCACTCCGGTTAATCGGCTACGCCCAATTCCGGGGTGGCCCTGGCCGGCGTTTCTGGGACTTGCGCCAATCTGTTGATTCGATCTTTTCATGCTTTTCCAGGAAGTTGTCTGATTTTTAGACGGTTGATTAGATATCCCGAAAATTTTGAGGGAAGGATCGGTTCTGCTTCGTTAGCGGGGGGTTTTTCAGTTTTCATAATGCCTAGTTCTCCTTGAATTTAAAGAGATTTATCCAACTACAGCCAGAAAGGAGCTGCCTCGGCCGGAAGCGAAATGTCTCGAGTTTTCGCGTTTTCGATAAGTACCGGAAATTGGATTCCGGTCCGGCCGGGCAAAAAAACCCCCGCTTATCCAATTTTCGTTAACTTTCAGGGACTCGGCACTTTCGGTATGATGCTAGCGGATCTCTGGTAAATGCTTGTATAGGGTTTCGGATTAAATAGGATACTGGTTGATTCTTTGGTATTATCGAGGGGGGCGGGTGCTAATTTTTCCTATAATCCGGAAATCCTACTATATATAAAAAAATAGTTTCTGTGTGTGTGTGGACACTTTGCATAAAAACCCGGGTTCCAGCCATAACTCGAAGGAAAGAGGATTTTATGGTTCAGAAGTAAAGTGGTTAGGGGTAATCGAGGGCGTAGATTACTGCGCGCTTATCAGATCAGATTTTTACTAAAATAACGTTTTATACCTTATTTTAGCGATTTAAAAACATATGGAAATAGACTAATTTGCATACGAGGATTAATTCGGCTCATTCTAGGCTTTGCTGGGTTCCGAGTCGGTTGCTCAAGTAATTCCTGTGGTGTGCCTATCCCTAACGTAATTCGTAAAATTAATGCAAATTATAGTATGCAAAGTGCCCGTGTATCAAAGGACCCCGAAGAGAGGCCAGGGTTGAAAAGTCGCGAAGCGGCCTTTTCAACCCTGGTATCTATTAATTTTCTCAGTAGTTAGTAGTTAGTAGTAAATAGTTTTGTATTTTTAATCACAGTTTATCACGTTTTTACGTTTAGGATTTGTAAACAACTCACTAAAAAATAGTTTTTGGACAGTTAATTAAATATTTAAAATGTTTAAAACATTTAGTTTGAGATATTAGAAAATTTGGATGGTAAAAAGGTTGGTTTTCCCCTGATACCCCCCCGATAATGCGAAAGCACCCTGACACCCCCGAAAGGCGAAAGCACCTGACACCCCCCCCCCCATAATGCAAAAGCACCGGTTTATTGAATTTCGCGGAAAGCTAGGTTAAATCTCGGATTGTCGGCTTCACCCGTGGCGACCGAATGCCTTTAATACGGCTTAGGGCGGTGTGGCTCGCGTGTTTGTGTGCATTTGGCATTCCAATCGCATTCGCATGCATTCGGACATGGCCCTTCCCCCTCCCCCTTCCCCCCTCGATTCGGGTGCTGCTAGGGGGGTTCGAATTTCTTTGGTGGTTGGGTGGTATGTGGGCAGGCAGGGGCTGCACATCCTTCCTGGATTGAGGCGAAAATTTACCCTTATTTTCGGTAAGGTATGCGCGGATTGCTGGGTTGTGGCACTCGGTCAAGCTATTTTGGCCGTACTTTTGCATTCTCGGGGGGGGGGGTTTCGCTCTAATCAAATTTTCTACATTTTTGTAAGATCAGTAGAGGTAGTGATTTTACGCTTGTTTTGGTATTTTTAAATGCAAAAATGTTACAAATTTTGATAGAAAATGCAAGGAAAAGTTGGCGTCAAAACTTTACAAATTTTTATTGAAATTACAAAAATCTCGAGCGGTCGAACAGAAATGGCCGATTTTTGTCCAAAATTTGCAAATTTTACAAATTTTAGGGTGTTTTTAGGGTTTAAGAAATTAGGCCCCGCGATAAAAGCCCCCCCGATAATGCACAAAATCTAAAAAACCTAGTGTTGTTATTTCTTTTTGTTTTTTTTTTCGGAACTCGGACATTTTCCGCGTTGTAGGATGTTTGCTTTTACGTACGCCAGTACCGTCCCCCCCCCGATAATGCACAAGATGCAAACAAAACTAAAGAGTTGGTTTTCCTGTTTTTTTTAAACCTGACGTTTTCCGAAGGACTTGGCCTAAAATGTTTGCTTTTACGTTACGCCAATACCGTAGCCTCCCGCCCCCCGATAACGCTAAAGAACCTTTTTGGTGTTTGCTCTTCGAGATTCAATACTTATTTTCTAAAAAATGAAAGAATAGGACTTAAAAATGCCGGCGTTTGGTTGGTGGTTCCTGGCTTTTCAAGACCACCACCAGCCGGAAGCCCTTAATTTTTTCCATCCACATTTTGATGCGTTTCTGGTGGGTGATTCGGCGATGATAATCTGGCACTTCATCGCCTAGTCCATACTCGTCGACGTCGTCCCCTGGGAGCCGGGCAGCAGAAGCCGTGCTGAGCCCCGCCCAGATGAGGAATGCACTCACTCTGCCCGTCCGGCAACCACAAAAGAGGCGCGCCGATTTCACGCCGAGATTACTCCGGGACTCGGCACCTCCTCCTCCTCCCCCCTTTCGCTGGCCATTCATTTGCTAATTCTGGCCTCTTCAAAGGAGCACGGGCCACTCGGCTTCTCAGGAAGTACTTCCATGTTCATTTGAATTTTTTCTGGGCGCGTCAGCGCTTTTTTTTTGATTCATTCCGTTTTAGTGGCATCACGAGTTTGACGAGTCGATATTTTTCGGGATGTTTTTGTGCGTTTATAATATTAAACTCTATTTATTCACCGTTTATCTCTCTCAAACGCGCTCTCGTTCTCTCTCGCTCTCTCCCTCTCCCGCTCTCTCTCTCCCGCTCTCTCTCCCCCGCTCTCTCTCGCTCTCTCTCTCACTCACTCACTCGCTTTTTCCTATACCTATTAAGCAGTTATGATGGTTTTTATGAATAGCCGTATTTCCAGCGAAAAAAGCTTAGAAAACTGAGAAAATTTGAAATTTTTGATCTTCAAATCGTTATTTTTGTGTTTTTGTTAATAAAAACTAGCAAAGTTTTTTCGTTAAGAATGGTCCAAAACCCCGTGAAAACATTTCCTTTATTTTTCTTCATAAATTGGATTCTGCAAAAAATTGTTTACCCCCGATAATGAGAAAGTACCGGAACGTTTCTTTTCTTACTACCTAGAGCTCCATTCTCGTTTGATTTTCTCACGCTTATGAATTTTTCCGAAGCCATTTGGTGTTCACCTTCTTCTTTGTCCATTTGTTTCCGATCACATTCCACGGGTTAAGCTGTTTATCGCATCATGCCAATTTCTGGCCGCTCCCCCCCTCGGGGCGTCCCACGCCTTTTTTTGCCGCGCGTGAATTGGCGCGCCCGAAATTAATTCCGGAAGGCTAGACGCCGCATATCTTCCCATTTTCCCTATTGTTCCCTGCTGCTGTTTTCGTGATGCCACATATTATTCCACCACCGGATTCTTCATTCTCGGTTTTCAGGGGATGGCCACCGCCATCGACTCGATCAAGGAGGGCGAGCTGCGAGAGATTTTCAAAGATTTTGATAAGAATGGCGATGGAAGGTGCAGGAATACTGTAGTTTTCACACGTTTTTTTTTAGGATTACGTGTGAAGAGCTGGAGATGGCATTATTGCGACTAGGGGAACGCCCATCTAATACAAAAATCGGCCAGCTGATTCAGCAGGCTGATACCGACGGTAGTTGATTTTTAAAGGTATCAAAGGTAAAGGAGCTTTTGCATTATCGGGGACGGGGGTGTGTCTAGAAACTCCTGGTAATATAGTAAATGTTTTTTAGTAAAATTTGGCTATATTTCAAATCCAAAAACTAGCTATACATGTTTTAAAATCGTAAATTCGAAATTTTTGGTAGAAAATGACTTAATTTTTTTTTGGCTTGGTAATAGCAAAACGCTTTTCGAGACCTATCATTATTGGTAGTGGAAAATTGGATCGGACAAAAGTTGTTTTGCTCCCCCCCCCCCCGATAATGCAAAATAACCGTAAAAACTATCGCTATTTTTTTTCAGGAAACGGCGTGATCGATATCGATGAATTCCTGTCGGTGTGGCGACGTCAGATGGCCGAGCCGAACGAGCAGCGCGAGTTGGCCGAGGTTTTTAGCGTGGGTTTACGGCGATTTCTTCGATTTTGGCCCTAAAGGCCTAAAACAAGAATTTTAAATTTTAAATCTGCCTTCAAGTGAAATGAAAAAAACAGAAACTAAAGGAAATAGCTAAACAGAAATTTAAGAAAGCTTTGAAAAGCCTTGAAAACATCTTTTCAGGTTTTTGACGTCGATGGTGATGGGTTAATCTCGGAAAGTGATCTCAATCAGGTAGAAAATCGTTCTTTACAAAGTTAAAATTATTTGGATCGAGGTGCAGAGCTCAAAAACGACATTTCCAGCTCTTCCTCAGCCTCGGCCGGCCAATCCACGAGCAAGAAGCCTTCGACATGTTGATATTGGCCGACATCGACCAGGACGGCCAGGTCGATTTCCAAGGTACGGCATAAATTTCCGAAATTTGCCCATAAATTTGCGCGGCCATCCGCCTGGCGACCAGACGGGTGCATCTGTTGTCCCGGGCTACAAAAGCCTTCCAAAATTCGCCGGAAAATCCGGTGCTTTTGCGTTATCGGGGGGGGGGATTATTTGTATGTCCAGAAATGCTAGGAGCTGAATGGAAACTGTCTTAATATTGTTTTTAGTCAAATTTAACGAGATTTAAATAGGAAAAACCATCTAAAAAACCACGAAAAATTTGAAAATTGCCGGAAACACGATATTTTTTGTATTTTTAACCAAACCATTAAAAGTTTTTTTTTGCGTTGAGGAGTAATAACAGTTTCGGAATTCCACCCTTCAGATAGCAAATTGCCCCTCCCCCCGATAATGCCAAAGCACCAAAAATCCGATAAACTTTCAGAATTCTGCGCCTACATGAAGCGGGGCGCCGCGTTGAGCTAGGCGACGATCATGAAGTTCAAGGAGTACACGCTGCTATCACAGTCTACGGTTACCGCCATGTACATGTCAACGGCAATAAATCAACTATAATAATTTTGCTGTGGTGTCTGTCCGTCTGTCTGTCTGTGCGTCATGTCCCAGATTCAACTCGAAGGGGAAAGGAGCTAGAGCTTAGGTCTCTTCGGATTCGGATAGAGCGTGGTCAGAAACCCCCAAACTGATAAAAAAAATTATTAAAAAGTTTTAATTTAAAATATTAAAATTAACTTTGAAAGTTTTTCCTTAGTAAAAGGGGTGGGGGACGAAGGTTGGGGTGATTTTGGACATAGTGAGCCAGGCCGCGCGCGTTTCGGCGAGGGGGAGGGAGTGCAGGGGGTAGCCCGAAGTCCAGCCGCTTGCAGCGGCGAAGCCGCTGGAAGCGGCTGGTTATTTTACAGTTTTGTATAGTTTCTCTTTCAAAAGACTTTTCCAACGATTCAAAACATTAAAAATTATAGGTTTTCTCATTACGCCACTGTATTCCATCACAATCCTTTGGACACCTGGAATTTGTGCGTACACTATTTTATTTGTTTTTTGAAACTATAAACTTTCAAAAATCTTTACTAGAACTCTGTAAATACAGTTTCCAAAGACAAAAAAAAAGAAGAAAACATTCATAAACTGTTTCCAGGAAAATCATAGAAAAAATTCGACTAGAATTTGATAAAAATGGGGGGCCGGCGGGAGGGGCGGTTTTGAAAGAATGTGTCGTTTGAGTCATGGGGCATTTTGAAAATTGATTTTCATCGAGGAAAAAATGCAAAAACCGATGGCAAAGACTCCTAGAAAGGAGGTACTGGACTGTTAGCGGGGGGAAACAATTCTTCCAGCCCATTTAAAACCTTTTAGATATAAAAAGCACATGAAAATTAGCCCCCCCCCCGCTAACAGACCAGTACCAAAAAACTCTCTAGAAAATAGGTACTGGACTGTTAGCGGGGGGTTCAACAATTTTCCGTTTCCTTTTACAGCATTTTAACTAGTCTTCGAAGTAGAAAAGCGTTAAAAAATCCTAAAAGTTAGCCCCCCGCTAACAGAACGGTACCGAAAAATGTGGAAAAACGAAAAACACAAAACAGATAGACAATTTAGATAGAGATAGCAAGAGAGGGAGAGAGACTGGTGAGTACCCGGATATTGCTGTGACAGGAGTGTGCTGGGTGTGTGCGTGTTTTTGGATCGGCTGGGCGGATACGGTAGCCAAGGTGCTTTCCAGAAAACACCCCCTCTACCGTACCCCCCTCACCGCTTTAATGGGCCACAAAATGCGAATACAATTGAGCGCTCAATTGACGGGTATCTGGGGGAAGGGAACTGTTGGGCTGTGCGGGCAGGGCGATGGCTCGAAAAAACAAACAAATAAAAATGGCATATTACGTAAAACTTTGGAATTGATATATCCCTAGCAAAAAATGACAAATAGGTCACCGGGTGGCTTACTGTAATTGGGGGCAACGGTTAGGAATGGGGGTTCTGGCGTGGCCGTGCGATTTGGAGGAACAGCCGGTCGCCCGAGCTTTTCACGAACGTCACCGCGGAAAGCTGCAATTTTTGGGAATAGAAATTGTGTGTCAAAATTTATTGAAATGGTTAAATATAATTAAAAATGATATCGTTAAGAGGTAATCAAAACCACTTGAGAGACAAAAAAAATGCAAAAAAAGTCGAGTTAAAATTCCTCTACAAATATTTATAGTCTTTTAAAATTTTATGCGATTTATTTACAATTTTTTTTGAAGCATTAAACTTATTTAAACAATTTAATCGACAGAAATTGAAAGAAACTGACTTTAACCAAAAATTTTTTAGCCTGATTATACTTTTGATTAAGATCGAAATAAAAGTTTTTTAATAGATAAAATACATTACGCAACTTAAAATGATTCTTGGGATATTTTGTTCAATTTATATAGATCAAAGGAAATTTGGTTTTACTGCTAAATCTGTAAAAATGGTTGGTGGGCCTTCTGGATTCTATACCCTGACCACTCTACCGTACCTGGTCGGTGACGGGCAGCGCATTGACGGCCAAGATCCGGTCGCCAACCTTCAGCTTTTCGGCGGCGGCACTACCCGGTTGAAGTGAGGTGACAAGGATCCCTCGACTCCGCTTCCCGATCCCCATCCCGAGTTGTTGATCGGATTGCTGGAAATGAGGATATTTCCGTAATTTGTAGCATATTGTAGCCTCGGAAATGGCGGAATTTGGAAAGTAGCGTAGCCTGTGAAAAAACCGTAATTTCTACGATACCTTTCTCAATTCGACGAGTATCGTTTCGGATCCCTCCTCCTTCAGGTCCTTGAGCAGCTCCACGTTAGAGGGGGTGGATGAGGAGGGTTGAGGGCTCGGTTCTTTCGGCATTAAACTACTCGTGGAGGGTTTGGCGGAGGCGGTTGGCTGCTGAAATGGATAGGGTAATAAAAGGTACTATAATCGCGATGCCTGAACGGCTTGAACCTGTCGCAGAACCTACCACATCCTTGGCAACAATCGGCTCCTCGGCCAACGGACTCAGCGCTCCGTCCCGATCCGCCTTCTTCACCTCGAGGGGTCGATTTGCAGCTGCAGCGGGCGGATCTTCCCTAAAATAAGGTCTTGATACCGTACCCCTGTGGATACCTAGGAGAACTGGCGGTTGTTGCTCTTGCGGCTTCAGCGGCGGCGTGGACTTTGTCGGTTGCTTCCGTCACCTTCCAACGTCCAACCTTCAGCGTTACTTTTCCGACACACGCCTAAATACGTTGATGTTTTCAAGGCTTTAAGGTTCTTTAAATACCTTTAGCATTGCCGCAACTTCTTCTTGCATCAGATTTGCGACGTCGGTTCCGTTGACGGCCAGAATCTGGAGGGGATGGGGTTAAAGGAAGCGTGACAGAAGATCTGCGTTTTTCGGAAGGTACCTATGATTTCTTTCAATCGTTCACAACTTGTTCAAGTCGTCCAGGACTTGCTCGCGAAATAGGCTTTAAATGAGTGCACAGTGAGTTCAAGGCGTTCAGAAAGGTATTTTTTGTTCAGTAACGTCTCAAATGCTATCAAAAGTCCATAAGCCCAACGGCGTGAACGGCTTGAAGTCGTCGGGGAAGCTTGAAACTCCTAGGTCTTTTGAGCAGAGCTTTCTGTTTGGATCTGAACTTGTCGAAGGCGATGACTGCAACGCGTAACTTCGAAGCTTCATAGAAGCCAATATTTTAGATTTTCCGCCCACCTGATCGCCAGCAAAAAGTCGGTGATCAGCCTCAGCAGCGCCGCCTCGCACCACCTCACTGACGTACACACCGGCCTCGTTTTTGCGGCCGACGATTGACAGTCCAAGTCCTGAAAGACGAAAATGAGCAACTTTAACTAAATCCTTTGACTTAAAAAAAACATAAATAAAGTAAGAACTCACCCCTTCCCGGCTTCTTGGTCAACTCCAGCTCGATGATGTTGTAGATCTGGGTTGGGTCGAGGAGGCAGCGTTGGAGATTAACGTCCCGGTACACCTGGAGTTTTACCTGAAAAAGAAAATTTAGCGTGTTTATTGGAGCCCTATTTAGTCTGTAGCGTGGATTACGGTAGCATACCGGTGCTGCTATAAATTACAAATGTCGTACCCGATTTGGTGTCCTTCGTAGATGCTGGATAGCCGTCTCGTGCGTGACGTTGCGTAGCGATTGATTGTTCACCTGAAATTCGCGTCAAACCCAAGGAATAACGGAATGATAAAAATCTTTGGAAGTTTGCAACGGTCGTACAGTTGCGTACTTTGGACCCAAAACAAAACTCAGGGATGCGATGAGTGGAGGGATACGGACAGTATCAGGGGGTGAAAGCAGGCATCACAGTGGGGTATCTGACCTCTAGGACCTGATCGCCTGGGCGGAGACGACCATCGGCTGCCGCGGCGCCGTCTGGGTAGACCTCGTGGATGACGACAGTACCCAACACCGTGTCGATGCCGCCAACGATGGAGAGGCCGAGACCCTTGCCCTCCTGAAGTTAAAAAATTTAGTTATAAAATCTGAAGAATTACTATTAAGTATAAAATCGCATATCATCTAGCTATAGATCAACGTAGTAGGTTGATTTCTCTCTCTCTCTCACCCTCTCTCTCTCTCTCTTGCTTTTCAGGCTTGCCGCTGTCTCTTGCTCTCTCTAGCCTCGCTCTCTCGGGACCTCTGCTCCATCTCTCTCTCTCTCTTTCTCTCTCTCGCTCTCTCTCTCTCTCTCTCTCTCTCTCTCTCTCTCTTTCTTGCTCGCTATGTCTTTCTCACGCTCTGTCTCTCTCTCTATCTCTCTCTCCCTCTCTCTCTCGCTCTATCGCTCTCTCGCTCTGTCCCCAACTGACCTTGTCGATCTCGATGACCGTCTCCTTCCCGGTCGCAATTTCCACCGTCCGGTCGGCCAGCGACTTTTTCCGCGCGTCGTTGACTGCAAAATTCGATTTTTAGACTTTTGCAACTCGTTCGACTTTCTCAAAATTAACAGAACCCCTCCAAATACTGGCAAATTTAATGAGATCTGCCTTCCCTTCAGCCAGCCGGGTCGCCTGTTCATTATCTTTCCGGGGCCCTTTTTGGCCCTCTTTTCTGGCCCTCTCCCCTCCTCTTTAAAGAAGGGGCCAATGGGAATTCGCTTTCTATTAGCTTTTCGGGCCCTGGCCAGGGGGAGGACGAGGAGGTGAAGCCGACGTAGTGAGGTCAAAATGAAGCCCCCCCCTGGCCGGCCAATTCGATTCTTCTTCTCTCGCCTTCCCCCCTGATGGCGCGCAACCCGCAAAATGGCCAAATCGGCTGCTGGAGCGGAGGGAGAAGAAGATGGCTATAGGGAAGTAGTGCAACAAAGAGGGCACTTTATAGCGAGGAGGACGTTTTAAAGGGACGTGGAAGGCAAAACCCAAGGCAAAATCTGCCGTCACAAGGAACTTTTCGAAGTTTTTGGACGCCGAAAATTTTTAAAAACTTTCAAAATAATTTTTTTTGTTCAAATAAAATTGTTGCTAATTTTAGGATTGCGCAAAACTTAAAAGTTGAATGATTAAATTTAATTATAAATAAGTGCTTGGATGTAAATATAAATAATTACAAAAATTGGACAAATTCAAAAATTAGAATTTTTGTAAGTTTTAAAGTTTTTAGGCATAAAATCGCGCTTAGAATATTGTAGAATTTTTGTAGAGACATTTCTAAAAACATCAGAAATTTGCATGTAAAATATGATCGCTTCGCCGCACCCCTGGATTTTACGGCCCATTGAAAACCTGTGAAAAATTCCGTGCGGATACGGAGACTACAGTAGCATTTCGGAGCTACAGCACCTCACTGGTAACTTGAACAATGACCCCAAATGCGCAGTTCCCGTTTTATAGCCCATGGTGACCATTAAATTATGCTCAAGCTACCGTATCCTTGCCTCAAATAAGGTAGAAAAAGTAATTTACGGATTCTTAGATTTTATGCAAATTTTAGGGCCTTTTAGGCGGCCGGGGATCAAAGCAGAACCCCACGTCAGCGCATGTTTTTGAATTGCTCTTTAATTACAGGGTCGCTGTGAGAGAGAGAGGGAGAGAGAGAGGGAGAGAGAGAGGGAGAGAGAGAACGAGAGAGAGCGAGTGAGTGAGAGAGAACGAGAGAGCATAATTTGTGATTTGTTCTCCAGCGGAATGGGAGGGAAGGAAGGGGAGAGCCGACCTAGCCCCGCGGAATTTGCCCCCTCCCTGAAGCGGGGGCTACAATTTGGCTAATTATTGGGGGCAACGCAGTCGAGGTTTTTTCTTAAGAATGTATATAGATAGGCATTGAATTGGCCAAATCACAGTACCTAAAGTTTTCCAGCTTATTTAATGACCTTAAGAGCGCTTTGAGGAGCAGAAGTATCCATTTTCCGGTGTATAAGGGGACTGTGACACCGAAAAGTACTCAAAAAAGGCTCTCTAACGGTTTAGAGGGACTGTGGCACCCCAAATTTTTGAGAATCAAGATCTGCTGGGGATTTATAAAATTATAGCTCAAAAATCACGAACCTTGCGGCGAGAGGGTGGCCTGCTCGGTGGGCGGACGCATCTGAAAAACGAATTAAAAACGGAATTGATTGCATGCCTCAGAAAATCTGAATTTTTGATCGTTTAAAAAATTTTGTTTGAAACAAGACGAAACGGAAATTTTTTAGTATATTGAGACATACAGACGGAGCGCGGTATCATACGAGAGAGCAGGGAGGAGAGAAAGAGAGAGAGAGAGAGAGAGAGAGAGAGAGAGAGAGAGAAAGAGATAGAACGAGCGAAAAACCAAGCATATCTAAAACCCATTCTTGCAAAGCTAGAAAACCATGAAGAAAAGGCCCTAAATTAGGATATGAGCATGAGATAAAGGGAGACGAAAATAGGAAAATACGGACTTTTTTGGCATTTGGTAAACCTGAGAAACCTCAGCGGAATTAGTATCGTCACGTAGCCTAGTCTTATCTATTAATGCGCCGAAGCTTCACCCCACTTGTAAGCCCACACCAAGCCCAAAAGCTCCAAAAATACGCCAGACTTTTTTGGTCGGCGTCCAGCCGCACTGGATCCTAATCCGCGCCCGCCCGCGCTACGCCAAAATTCAACACCCCACCACAACAGACCTCCCAAAAAAAGCCGGCCGGGTTGGCTTAGTGCCCAATTTGTCAGAGGGCCCAACACACAGGGCCCACGTCGTCAAAATGAGACGACCAAGGGGGGAGGGCCTAATCCGAAGGGGGGAGGCCTCAGAAGGGGGGATCTACTCGATTCGTGGAAAGGTGTCCCCCTTCTAGAGGGCCCATAGCAGAGGGCCCACAGAGGGCCCAACAACGAGAAATAGGGGCAGAAATTGAGAGAGGAGGGACAGGGGAGCGGGATAGAGAGAGGGCAGGGATCGATGTCTTCTGGCATACACACATACACACAGACATACACACAGCGTGTGTATGTGTGTGTGTAGAAGCCGGGGCTGTGGAGGGCCCACCAAGGGCCCTCTCCATCCCTGAGCCACTGGGCCCCCTCTGGGCCCCCACCCACGCAGAGAGAGGGGGGAGTGACAGGAGGAGATGTCCACTTTTAAAGGGATGGTGACAAGGGGAGGGAGCAAGATCATGAATAAGAGCGAGAGCGAGAGAGCGAGAGCACCAAAGGCGGTGATCAAGTAGCAAAGAGCACGACATAGAGCCTGAGCTAGCGAAAGTTAGGCTGCGAAAGGCAGCGAAAGCTAGAGATAAGTGAGTTGAGAACGAGAATTGAGAGAGGCGGTATGCGAGAGAGAGAGAGACAGACGGAGAGAGCGAGAGAGACAGACAGACAGAGCGGGCGAGAGAGGGCGTGAGAGACAGACATACAGAGAGAGAGAGCGAGAGTGAGATAGTGTGAGAGGCCTAAAAAATAGCAAGATAGCGAGGCCGAACGAGAGTCGAAAGAGACATGAGAAGAAGAGATAAAGCGCGAGAAAGTGTCAGGGGGACAGGGACAGCGAGAGAGAGAGAGAGAGAGACAGACATATACAGAGAAATTACAGACAAACCGACAAAGACAAACGATCAGACGCAGCTATCAGCCCTTAAACCCTGACCCAACTACCGTACCCGATCGTTCCGTGGTGATGGAGGTACAGTTGGTTGTGCCTTCTCGGGCTTCTCCCCGTCCTCAAACCGGACAGTCGGCTGTTCCCGTTCCTTCGGTTCGGCCTGTCCGTTTAGGACAACCGGCGCAGGAGCAGGGGGAGCTTCTGGCTTTTCTGGGGCGGGTAGCGGCTAAATTGAGCGTTGTTTGTCCGGTATTGTACGGTACGTCAATAGGCAAGTATCGGGACTTGTTTTGTCAGGGGTTTAAAGGGACGGCAAAGGCACGATTGCCCGTCCCTTAAAGTGAGCGTCACAGTAATTAGTAGAAACTCACTTCCGGCTGTGGTCTCCTCAAGACGAGCAGTTCCAAGTAGTCCTCATCATTGGCAGTCCGGATGTGGCCTGAGGCAACAGCGGGGGAGAGTCCGACGAGCACCTTGCCGTTCACCTGAAAAGAAGCCTGAAAGCTGCCCAATTCACCGTACCTCAAGGATCTCGTCGGCTGGTCGGATCGGTAGTGGACAGGCTGGGTGGGTGGAGATGACCAGGATACCATGAGGGAGACGATCCGTGGAGTCGGCCAGAGAGATTCCTGAAAACGCATTTTAAAGGAAAGTGTAAGGTCTAATTGTGCTCGCCTGCAGCTTGTCTTTAGCGAAAAATGAAAGTAAAATTCTCACCCAATCCAGCCTCCGGCACGCCGCGCAGTTGCAAGAACAACACCTCCCCCGGTAGCGCCGAGTACTTCTGGTCGATTTTGCCTGAAGAGACGTTAAAAACCACCTTACGGCTTACCTCTGGTATATCCAAACGTGGATGGGGCCTCACAATCGGACGGTCGACGTCGGAGATACGCGGCACTTTCCTCTTCTACCCCATCCACGATGGGGTCATCCACCGGTGCCGGCTCGACTTCCTGAAGTTGGCTTGGTTTTTTTTAAGCGACTAGCAAAGCAATAAATCTGAGTTTTAAAGGGACTAGGAAGTTGATCAGCTCAAAAACTGACGGCTTCAGATGTTGAGGCGATGTTGGCCAGCTCGGCATGGATGCTGCGGAGGGAGGGGGAATGGCCCGAGTGGATCGAGTGATCAGAGACGCGGGATTGGAGTGATTTCTTGGACTAAAACGGAATTTTCGGAGTTTTCGTGAATTTTCTTGTTTTTTATGGAACCAAGGCTTCCAGAGCCCTTTAAAATGCAGTGGCGCCGCAAAATTGTAAATTTAGCCCTTGAATGTGTCTATAGGCGCGTCGGGGAGCCAGAGCTTCAGTGAGCTCACCCCTTGTCCGTGCTTTTAAAGCAAAAGTAGGACACGATTCAGCGCTTTTTTGAAGTTGATACTTTCAAGGAAACTCACCTCAATCGTGGCCTGCCTCTGCACACTCGGCTTCACCTCACTACTATCGACGGATGGCTGCTTTTTCGGGATCGGCTTTGGCTTCTCCTCGTGGACGATCACTTGGTCATGGTGCTAAAAATGTTATTTATTTTGCTTCGTTGTTGAAAGGGACTGGAAAGCCGCAAGAAAGTACGATTCTACTAAAATCGACCAAAGACTTACCAAAACGACGGTCTCCATCGGCTCGTGAGCTCGAACAGATGCCTCAACTCGTATTGAGCCGATTGTTGAGGACGAGGTGGACGAGATCATTTGCTAGAAATTTATTTCGATCATTTTACTTCATTTTTATACCTGATGCGGGGCGAATGAGTGCAGGGATTGGAGCACGAACTTCACGGGGTTTGTCGCCGAGCGTATAGCTGCTACAGCTTCTTCATGAGATGCCTCTCGGAGGTCGACCTCGTTTACCTGGAAAGCCGGGTTTAAAGGGCTGTAGAAGCGAAGTATCTGGCCGTCCGGATATGTTGAAATCGAGTTCTTGATTAACAGCTCAAATTCAGAAAAGAAAGCTCCAGAAAATCCGCTAAATTTTGCCTTCCATGCCCCTTTAAAACTCACCGATAGCACACGATCTCCCATATTGATCTGGCCGCTCTGCCCAGCCGGACTATTTGGCAGCACGCTTTTGATGAAAATTCCGGATACCGTATTCCCGGTGCCTAAAAAATTAACACGATTTTCGAAGGCTTTTCACAAACCTGGCAACCCACCCTTTTGAGACACCTCCACCCGACCGCCCACGATGCTGATACCTGAAACAAAGATGATTTTTAAATGACTAGATTTTTTCGACTTCGAACAGCTTTTGGGGGGACGATTTAACACTTACCAAACGATTTATCGGGCTCCCGGTTGAGGATGACGGTCCGCGCCTCACCCCACAGCTTTGAGCGCATCAGGGCGACGCGAGCCTGGAACCGGGGGAATTAGGATGGGTTTAAAGGGATAGGGAAGCGTGGTATAAGTAAATTTCATTGTTTGTACGGTTTGAAACTGACGACGCTCCCGTTCTCTCTCACTCTGTCTCTCTCTCTCTGTCTCTCTCATGCTCAATCGCTATACCAAAGCTTCTCTCGCTTCTATAGCTTTCTCTCAGTTTCTCGTTGTTTCGCGTTCACTATTGCTCTCTCGCTCTCTCTCGCTCTCTCTCTTTCTCTCTCTCTCTCTATCTCTCGATCTCTCTCTATCTACGGTAGCCGGATCTCACAACTTCTCGCAATTTCTCTCGCTTTTTCGCGTTCTCACTGTGATTTGGTATTCTCGCGCTTCTTCTCACGCTTTCTATCACTTTCTACGCCTCTCTCTGCTCTCTCTCTCTCTCTCCCTGTCTCTCTCCCTCTCCTCTATCTCACCTGCGTCTCACTCCCCGTGCTCGGTGTCCGCGTATCAAGTGCAGGTCGATGATGTTGATGTGGTAGTGTTGTAGGTGGTTGTTGTTTCATTATATTCTGCTCAATCTGCTCCATTGCCTTATCCTCACTCGCCGTCTCCGCATCCGCTTCTTCTCCAGAGGTGGTGGCCGAGCCCTAAACCATTAATTTCAGAATCGTATTTAAATTTTTACCTCGTTCTCCACCCGCCCGGCTTGTCCGAGAAGGCGTCGTCTCGCTTCTTCTTGCTCAACTTCGATCTGAAATCGAATTGTTCAGTTTGAGATGAAGCGTATTTTTGTTATAACTAATTTAAATTGCATTATTATTTAGCCAAAAACATAGTTTATAGCATGTTTTTAACGCCCTATTAAATGCCATTAAAGAAATTCTAAAATTATCCAAGACTACAAACCACAGTCTCCTCCCAGGCCGCTTCAATGACACCGTCTACAACCCGGCGGATGACGTCCGAACCCGGAGAATCGACGAGGGGCAGATGACCAGAGACAATGTCTCGAACCTCGGGTATAGGGGAAGAGGGCTGAGGAGGAGGAGATGAGGGAGAGGGAGAAGCAGCTCGAGGCGGGGAGCACGAGGGACTGGCCTTGGATGATGATGATGGGGTACTGGATGGGGGACCACGGGTTGGTTGGGCTGGTGGCGATGGCGGCGCTTCGGAGGGACGTCGGGGAGGTTCCCTAAATGTAGCAATATTTTTTATATGACGGATGTGTTAAAAGCGCATTAATGAGGGCGAGGCGGCTCGAAAAATGAATTTCTAAGGTTTTAGAGGGCTTTACTGCCTAAACTCGAGCATCCCTAGCTAAAACACGCAATATCGAAGCGCTCCACCAAAGAGCAAAAAGTTCCGTACCGGGCAGGAGTCAAACCCGGATCGTGTGGGTGTGAAACGAGTGCTTAACCAATGAGCCATACCCATGGACGGGCCGGTCGCGGGTCTCCCTCAATACCGCCTTTGCGCTCTTGGTACATTGGTTAAGCGCTCGCCTCTCACCCACACTACCCGAGTTTAACCCCCAGCCGCCGCCAGATTTTTTGCGTTTTGGTCAGAAGCTCCGAATCGCCGCTACAAACCTTTTGGCCGTGCTCCAGTCCGGTGTCTGGGTGAGGACGTCGAGCTGGAGGGCCGAATCCTGGAGGGCTTGCTGCAAAAAGAACAATAATTTTGTAGGAAAATTAAAAGTTAAAATTTTTTTTGAAGTTTAAGGGCCAGAATTCGAACGCGGAAGCCAGGAAATGGCACAGCTTCAGATTCATTCAGGCATTTTGTCAAAGGAGCTAAAGGGTTTTTGGGGCCAAACGGGGGGAATGGGTGGAGGGAGATGTGGCTTCTTCTCTTCTTCTTATTTTTCTGGCCATGAAAAAAAGAGAGGCCCCTCCTCGTCGTGGCTAATGGAAGTGGATGGAAAGAAGGGGGGACACATTATGCACACGGCTAATCACTGGCTGGGTGGGGGGGAAGCCGAAGAGAGACTACGAACCGCTCCTATCGCCACCACATTTTCCACTTGAGCGCTCGGATTTTTTGGGTAGATTGAATGATGAATGGGAAAAGTAAAATTTATGATTTTACAAGCGCTTCTAGAACAATGTACAAAATGAAAAACGATTATTTTTGGTCAATTTCATTTCTGGCATTCAAAATTCATATCAAAGAATTTCAAAATTTCAATAAAAATAAGTCGTTGTAAACTTCTTATGATTTTACATTTTACACACATTACGTGAAGCTGTAGACCGCGTAATTTGCTTTAAAGAGGAAAGAAAATAAGGAATTTCTTATTAATAGGGATTTACAAAAAATTGGTTTTGCTCGGCTGAAAACATTGGAGTACGGTATTTATAAAAAAAACGAAACGACGAGACCGAAAAGAACCAAAGACCGAAAAACGAGCGAAAAAACATTCAAAAACGAAAAGCTAAGTTCCGGTGTTATTTAAATGAGGATTTTTATGAATTCTGTATTTTTGAATTTTAACACTTAAAATACGGCATTTTGAAAAACTTGAAAAATTTCGATAAAAAGTTACTATCAACTAGCAAATTTTAAAAAATTTTGCCTTTCTTGCAAAAAAATTGAAGCGCATTTCCTTAAAGATCAGAATCTGGAAAAAATATGCTAATTACGTCGTAGATGCACCCAATTTGCATGACACTATCTCAGAACTACAGCAAGCGCTGAATTAAATTATTTACTGCCTTGAATTTATACAAAGCGCCGTCGCAAAATTCAGCGCGGACGGCGAGGCGGGTGCGGAAAATCGCGCCTCGTTTTTGGGCTGTTGCTGGGCCGTGCCAATTGATTGTGGTGAGAGAATTCATCGAAGAGAGCCGCCCCACCCTGGCCTGGCCTCGGATAAATGTTTTTTTCCTCCTCCTCCTCTTCTTTTTCTGGCACCGCTCTCATGCCCCCCTTCCAAACATTGCATGCCATTGGGGGGGCATGGGGGGAGGAAGGGCTCCTTTTAACCCCCCCCTTGGAAAATGAGGGGGTTTGGAGCCGGATAGGGAAATCTGAATTAAGGGGATTGGGAAAAAGTGAGATCAGGAATTTCTAGAAGTCCGGCAAGTTTTTTTCTCTCACTCTGTCTCTCTCTCTCTCGCTCTGTCTCCCGCTCTCTCTCACTCTCTCTCGCTCTGTCTCCCGCTCTCTCTCCCTCACGAGCCCGCGCACATTCTCTTTCTCGCACTCTCTCTCTCTCTCTCTCTCTCTCTCTCTCTCTCTCTTTCTACCTAGTTAGCGCTCCATCTCTTTCTCTCATCTCTCTCTCTCTCTCTCTCTCTCTCTCTCATCTCTCTCATCTCTCAATTAAACGAGAGGCAGAGTGAGGGCGAGAGAGAGCACGAGAGAGAGAGAGTGAGCAAGGGCGAAAAGCAAGAGAGATAAAGTTAGCGAATGATAGAGCATGATGAGCATGAGCAAGAGCTGAATAAAAATTGAGCGAAAATATCGTATTTTCAGCCGGAACCCCGAAAATTACTGCATAGTTGGGATCGGGAAGCCTAGAGGATGCGATGCCTAAATGGGCACCTAATACCGAGCTACCCGGGAATTAAACGGCAGCCGCCGGGCAGACCGGAAGAGGCGGAGTGAAACGGAAAATGGCTGAAAAATGAGGGGATGGAGGATGGGGTAAGTGAATGAATGCATCGGGTGCTGCTGATTAAAAGCCAGTAGTATTAGATAGAGGAGAGTGAACGAGGGTCAGTGTGAGAGAGAGAGAGAGAGAGAGAGAGAGAGAGAGGAGAGAGAGAGAGGGAGAGAGAGATGGAGAGAGGCCTAGAGTGGGAGATAGAGAGGAGAGAGCCAGCCAAAGCGAGAAACAATTAAACAGAGAGAGGAAGGAGAGAGAGAGAGAGAGAGAGAGAGAGAGAGGGAGAGAGAGAGAGGGAGAGAGAGATGGAGAGAGGCCTAGCGTGGGAGATAGAGAGGAGAGAGCCAGCCAAAGCGAGAAACAATTAAACAGAGAGAGAGAGAGAGAGAGAGAGAGAGAGAGAGAGAGAGAGAGAGAGACAGAGAGAGAGAGAGAGAGGGGGGGAGAGAGAGAGGGGGAGAGAGAGATGGAGAGAGGCCTAGAGTGGGAGATAGAAAGGAGAGAGCCAGCCAAAGCGAGAAACAATTAAACAAAGAGAGAGAGAGAGAGAGAGAGAGAGAGCGTGAGACAGGGAGAGAAATAGCAGCGAGCGTACACACCATTTAATCCTTAAAAAATTCGGAAGAGGGAAGAACCCCATTGTCGGAAGCGTTGAAAGGCTTTCCGGGGCAGAGGGAAAGCTAAAAAAGAGGACGGAGCTGGTGGCCATGGCTAGCTAGTGACTGCCATGCCCCGTCCGTTGCGTTCCACATATTCATTGGTCGCCCAAGCGAGAGACGGCCATATCGGGTCGATGGCTTGGAAACAACGACTAGGGGGAGATGGCATTTTAGAGGGTCGAGAGGGGATTTAGGGGCTTTTAAAGGGGTGGAGACAGGACGGAAATGTTCTCTTTATCCGGTTTTTGCTGACTTTTTATCTATCAAACCTTCTCCCGCCTCTCTATCCCATCTCTCTTTCTCTCGCTCGCTCGCTCTCTCTCCCCCCCTCTCTCTCTCTGTCTCGCTTTCTCTCTCTCTCTTTCCAGCTCTCCATCACCGACTTTTAAAAAAACTCTAAAGTCCTCAATTTACCAACCTTCATGACTTCCGCCAACAACTCGTCAATAATATGATTCAATATCTGCCGTAGCTGCTCAACCTCGGCGTCTAAATCAAGCCGTTCAGAGTCGAACGATATCTCTTGAACCTGACGGCGACGTCGGAGCCGGTGTGGGCGGAGCCTCTGTCAACGACGTCGAAATGGCCGTTGACACTTCCAGCTGGCTGTCCACGGATGGCTTCCGGTCAAGCGCACCCCGGTAGAACTTCGGGAACACCCTGAAGTCGTTCTTGAAGATGATCCTCTCAATCCCCCTCCTGTCACCATCCCTTTAAAATATTCTGTTCATCTCCCATACCTCGGCGACAATCTGTTCAGCTCCGGCGTTTGTGGCTCAGCTTCCTTTGCAAAGCGCTCCTTCCAGATCTTCGCGTCCGCCCCGGTGATGTAGATGATCCTAGAGTCCGAGGTGGTCAGGGTAAAGCCCGGAATCCTTACGTGCAGTTGGTTCCGACAAGGTTGGTGCGCTTCAGGATGGCCCTCGCCTGTGAGCTGGTCGAGTTTCGGAGAGGTTCGTGGTTGATCTTGACGATGTAGTCGCCGACCTGAAGGGATTCAGTGGTTTAAAGGAACTTTAAAGGGACAGTAATTTCCCGAAGTGTGTAATCTGTCATTTTTGACTTTTTGAGCAGCAAGTTTTGAGCACGAGCAAATTACTCAAACCCCAACCTGAAGACGTCCATCCCTTGCTATCGCCTTCTTCCCGCAAATACTCTTCACCACACACCCGTTGACGCCTTTGTCCCGCTCCGCGTCTACCGTAATCCCTAGAAAACAGAGGTGTACGGTGGAAACTTTCGGAATTTAACCTAGCGGTACCGGTCCCTTTTGAACCTTGATCGTTCGCTCGAGGTGCGCGGGCAGGTAGATGACGTCGTACGCCCAGGAGCCGCTGGAAAAGTGGAAAATCGAAGTTAGTAATTGGGTTAAAGGGGGAGTGACAAGCCGCAGCTCTTTCTCAAAACTCAAAACTCACGCTAATCTCATTGGTGAGGCCGGGGAGACGGATCTGGAGGAGCATGGCGACCAGGAAGTCATTGACGCCATCGACTGAAGCAAAAAATGCCTTTGGAATTTATATGAATTTCCCGAAGTGATTGTTGCTCTATCTGTTGCTCTCGTTAGCTCTCTCACTCTCTCGCTGTCTGTCTCTCTATCTCGCTCTCTCTCTCTCTCTATCTCGCTCTCTCTCTCTCGCTCTCTATCTCTCTCTCTCTATCTATCTCGCTATCTCTCGCTCTTTCTCTATTTCTCTTGCCCTCTGTCATCCGTTCTCTCGTTCTCGTTCGTGCTCCCGTTCTCTCTCTCTCTTTCTCTCGCTCTCTCTCTCGCTCTCTCTCTCTATGACTCCGATTAGTGCTTCGATACAAAACTAGTTGATTATCACGGCGATGTGCTTGCAAAAAAACATCCAACGCACCTGGTGGAGCTGTTTCCACTAAATTAGTAGCGGATTTTATTGAGGTTGTTAATGAAATTATTAGTAGTTTTGTATATTTGAAAAATGATGCAAGTTAGTAGTTAGTACAGTATCGTATTTGTCATTTTTTATTTTGGCAAGGCATGGCTATGGATAAAATCCATAGACACCTTACACTGCCTGCCTTACACGCCCCTTTAAAAGCAATTTTGGCCACAATCCTAAAACCAAAAATCAACAAAAATAGAGTGCTAAAGGAAAAGTGCAAAAAGGGGGAAAGAGGACACACGGCAAAAATTAGGGCCAAGTGGGGTGAGTGTATTTTAGGACCCTAAATGGTGCCCTCCCCGAAAAGGTCTCTACCGTACCCCGGTGATGCTGGAACGTCTCGAGTATGCCGATGGAGATCGAGATGGATGCGCCTGAAATATCACCAATCACCTCACGTCCATTTTAAAGGGCGCGGCAAGGGGGAATTAGACAGCGTAATTGGATGGAAGTAACGTTTTAGGCTCAACATTTCATGGCTTGATCGGGTCGCAATAGGCTATTACCGCAGGGTGGCGTAACTGGCTCTCACTAACTTTTTCCTAGCATTGCATAGCGTAATCGGATGTCACCAAGTTGCACAAATACTGGGGAAAATTTCGTGCCGTAATTGGTTTGCAATAGTATTTTTGGCTCAAAATTTCATAGCGTAATCGGATCATCAATTTACGATAATTCCTGAGCTGAATTTTATATCGTAAACGGATATCCAGGCAGTTTTTTTGGCTTCTAAAGGGACTAGGAAGCCTGGAATTTTTCCGGAAACATCGTGTTTTGGCGTAAATGCATCGTTAAGCTCCTATTTTGCTTGAAATCAATGCAAATTTGGTTTCGGAATTACATGACGTAATCAGCTATCCGTGTTACGCGGCTGTTAGCGCGATTTCAGGCGCGTAATCGAGTATCGTCGATTACTCGACGCTCCTAAAACGGAATAAGAACGGAATTTGAAGAGCGAGAGGCAAGCGTCGCGGCCCTGGAACACCCCTGATACCGTCCCTTTAAAGTTTGAACCAACGCACAGAAACCCCGCTAAAGGATAGTCCCCCGGAAAGCAGACCAGAAGAAAACAGGCGGCACCACGCAAATCAAGTACAGCGAGCACACGCGGATAGGGTGGGAAGGGAAGGGAAAAACTGCACGGTATAGACGCCTCGATTAAAGGCCAACTGAAGCGAGAAAAAGTAACAAAATGCGTGGGGAATTGCACATACCTGTAACTTGCTGAATTCGCCGCCGGTCAGCCAGACAGTCTCTTCGGATGAGTGGATGGAACGGGCCTGGAACAGAGGAGGTAGACCGACATAAAATAAACATCTTTCCGGTTCTATGTCTCTCTGTCTCTCTCTCTTTCTCTCGCTTAAAACTCACTAATCGTCCGCGGTTGGGACTGGCACTCTTGGCGAGATGCCGCTCGGCCCGGCTCAACGTCGGCCAGCCACTGCTCGGGACCGATTTCTGAAAACAGGATTTAATATACTTATTTCATAATCCATTGCAGAGCTCAAAGTGACAGATTGCGAGAGAGAGCGAGGGATAGAGAGAATGAGAGAAACAGGGAGCAATCGATAAAGAGAGCGAGAGAGAGAGAGAGGGAGAGAGAGAGAGCAACAGCGACATAAATAGAGAGTGAGAGGGAGAGCGAGCCTGGGGGATAGACACAGAGAAAAATAAGAAAACGCCAATTTTAAGTGGCTTCTTGTATAGCGGACGAATCGCGGTCGCTGTCCGGCTAGTAGATGAACATCGCGAGCTAGTCGTTCAACCGTTTTTCTAAGGGAATTTCTATGAAGAATAATATTTTGGCTAAAAATACGAAAAATCTCATATCCCGGCTGCAGTTCGGAATATGATTAGAAACCCGCTAGAACAGCGAATTATACAGTAAGGATTCGTAATAAAATTAAAAACCGTCTAAAAATAGACATAGATTGAATCTTTGTTGCCGAAAAGTTTATGGATAATCAGCAATTGATTCATAACTACGAAAGGCTTCAAAGCACGGGCCGTACCGCCTGGCACCGAGCCAAGGAGACGACCAGCGAGGTCTGGCTGGCCGGGCTAATCCGTTGACGGGATTCTTCTTCTCTCATAGGACCCACCACGACCATCCAACCATCACCAGTGGCCCACTACTAATTAGGGACCCATCGACATTTCTATCTCTCTCTGTCTCTCTCTCTCTCTCTCTCTCTCTCTCTCTCCTGACCGGGGAATTGAAAGCTAATGTCCAAATTTCGGGCCCAAATTCTAAAAAGAAATGCCGGCTAAAAACGGCCGTGACGAGAGCGTCATTACGACTGGATGCACCTGTTTTTGCCTAACGGCCCTTTTTGTTGGACCCTTCAAGGGGGAAGGGCCAAAAACAAAACGCGGCTGATTGCGAGGGAGTTAGTCGAGGGTGAAACGGAGAATTAAAGGGGTTGAGAAAAGAGCTTTTAGCGAAATTGAAGAGAGAGAAAGATGAGAAAATGAAAATTTTCGAAAAGCTCAGCTCTGTTCCGTTAGTATTAATTTTTCTGAGATGAACAGAGGCTTTGTTTTAAGCGTTTTACAATTCTTGAACGTAGAAGCATTATAAATTTTTTAAAATGCAAAGATGTCGATTTTTCCACCAAAACGCCCGGTTTTCGATCGAAAACATCAAAATTTCTACGTTTCCGGATTCCGTTTCCACCTGAAAAATAGCAAAATTTTGCCAAAATATTATTAAGGCACTTTTTAATACGTTTCTAGGCATTTCTGGAAATATAGAAATCCCCCCCCCCCCCGATAACGCGAAAGAACCAAAATAACTCCATGCAAAAAGCCGCAGCTTCCTATTGCGCAGTAGCAAAAAAGTGGCCGAGCCCATCGGGGTGTCCAGCAGAGGGTGAAGATTAGATCGAGCAGAGATGGCGAGCGAAGGAGAGAAAGAGAGAGAGAGAGAGAGCGTGAGAGAGACGCGGGCCCAAATCGGGCCCCCTCTCCACCCTCTAGAGGACCCAATTGGAGGGGCCCATATCAATTCGTGGTCCTGGGCCCACCAAAAAAGCCGTAAAAAAACGGGTGGTCCCAGGAAATTGATATGGCCACAATTAGCCCCGGGTTCGCTGGGCTGGAAATATTCAGACCGGAAAATGGGTTCGGGTAGGGTTACAGGGGGGCGGGGCGGGAAATTGGGGAAAATGAGACGAAATACATGGGTTTTTGAATTTTAAGCGAGAAAGGGAGAGAGGGAGGGAGGGAGAAAGAGAGAGAGAGAGAGACAGTGAGAAAGAGAGAGAGAGAGAGAGTGAGAGAGCGCGATAGCTATAGAAAAAGAGGGAGTGTGAGAGCGAGAGAGAGAGAGAGTGATGGAAAAGAGGGAGAGTGAGAGCGTGAGAGCCAGAGCCAGACAGAGAAAGAAAGAGAGAGAGAGAGAGAGAGAGAGAGAGAGAGAGAGAGAGAGAGAGAGCGTGAAAGAGAAAGAGCTAGAAAGCTTTAAAAAAATCTAAAACTTAAAATTTTACCAGTTTTCCGAACTTGAATTCAAAACGCAAAAAGTTCTGCTCCGGATGGGGTTCGAACTCGGGTCCTGCGCGTGGCAATCTAGCCGATTACCAGCCAGCTATTCGAAATTTTTTAGAGACAAAATCTTAAAAATTAAATCCGACTATAGCCTCCAGATTTTGACAGAATTTCTCTAGAAATTGGCTCCACAGCACTATGCAAATTCCGGAAACGAAACGAGGCGTATAAAATGGAATATGTGGGGGTTTGGCAGCAGCCCGGAGGGGGATTTGGAGAGCAGAAATGTGCGGGATTCCAATCCTCACACCCATTCCATTCCATTCCACTGCCAGGGGGGCATCGAAGGGCCAAATCCAGGCATTGGGGTAGGAGGAGGAGCTAATTGGCTCTTCAAGGGGGTGGATTCGACAGCATGGTAGTCTAGAGAAGCGAGGTTTCCTGGCGTAAAAGCTTTTACTATTAATATCGGTTAAAACGAAAAATTTGGCAGGTTAAAGGTGTTGGCAAGTCAAGTCTAAATAGATCTTTCTGGATCTCTTGCTGGTTCAGGACTGTTAGTAGGTGGAACCAAATTTTTCCCTCTTATTTTCTACGACTTAATGGCCTATAAACCGGTTACCTAGCATTTTACGTAATTTTTAGATATAAAAACAATACCAAGAAATAACAGCAATTTTCGAAAATTTTTAATTTTGGTCAAAATCGTATGAAAAATGACCAGAAAGGTCAAAATTCGAATTCGAATTACATTTTTTATAAATTTTAGCGATCAAAAACTACTAAAAACATTAAAATACACCCATATATATCAGCAACAGGTAGGCATGGGCGAAAAACAAAAAGAAAAAACTGCAAAAATCGCACCCTGTAAAATGCGAAAAACCTCAGAATTTTGCGAAAACTTTCTAAATTACCGGATTTTGAACCTCTAAATAACCCAGAAAGCCATGAATTTTAGGTTTAAAGGCCCAGAGACAGGTAATTTCGCCAACAAAACCCGACAAAGCTGTAGATTGCGCGACTTTTGAAGTGTTTTTGTTGTCGGGTGGCGCCAAAAATCGGGGCCAACCCCCGGGCCGTCTCGACACAAATTGCGATCGACGGCCCGAGCCTAGGGGGTCTGGCAAGTGAATGGCTTCTTCTGCTGCTAGTTCTATGCCCCGAGGGTACGAAAAGGAGAAGCCAGGCAAGGGGGGCATAAAGCATCCCCCTGCCCTCCCGAATGGCCCTACTTGGCGCCGCTACCGGTTGAGAAGGGCTTCTGCTTTGGATACGTTTTCGAGTTCACATTAAAGCGATGGGATCAGCATGACTATGGATTTTTATGGGAGATTAATTGGTACTTTCGCATTATCGGGGGGGGGGGACCAATTTTTTCTTATAGTCCAGTTTTTCTAATCAACGGGAAGCGCATTTATGCTATTCTTAAACGTAAAACCTTTATAAAGCTACTAAAAATACAAGAAAAATAGATTTTCGGCAGAAAAGGCCGATTGCAACCAAAGTTTCGGATTTAAAAAGCCTTTTTAAGTTTTGAGATGGGACTTGCCACTGGAGAAATGTTTAAATTTTACAAAAAACGGTATTAAATTGTTTAATATCAATTTACTATTAGTTACAGAGTAGAATAACGCTTCGAAAATCTAAAAAAAAACGCAAAATCAATTTCTAATCCAGTTCCAAGAATTTAGGCAAGTTATGGGGGGAAGATTTTGGCGGATGTTGGATAATGGCCATTTCCGGCCCTCGAAATTCTTTGAGGACTGATAAAAATAATCAAAGTTTTAAGGCTTAGTAACTGGCAAATATGCAAATAATAATAAGATGCAACAGGGCAATATCGAATCTCTGAAAATCCGAGCCACCGGAAGGACATGTCTGGCTATGCCAAATGAGGAGAAATGGGTCGGAAAGAAGGGGGGCTTTACGAGAACGAGAGTGAGAGAGAGAGAGAGAGAGAGAGAGAGAGAGAGAGAGAGAGAGAGAGAGGGAGGGAGAGAGAGAACCGCCGACAGCAGATACTACGTAAAAAGGGGGCCCAATATGAAAGAAAAAGAGACACGACGCCGCGGGCCCCGTCCTCCAAACGATTATCCGGGGACGGGGGCCCTCTCGGTCTTTTGGATCTCGGATCTCTCTCTCTCTCTCTCTCTCTCTCTCTCTCTCTCTCTCTCTGGTTCACGGAATTATGCATGAACGGGCAGCACGTCAAGCCCTGCCTTCCTTGCTAGAGGGAGCGGTGTGGTTGTAGTAACTGCATTGATATGCACGGATTTGGAGGGGGAGAGAGATAGGGAGAGAGAGAGAGCAAGACAATGAGTGGGTGAGAGAGAGCGAGAGACTGAGAGAGACAAGGGAGAACGAGATAATCGGTGCAAGGAACAACACGGTATCTGACAAAAAAAAACAGAAAATGGAGGTTTAGAGGAAGTGAGAGAGTGAGCATGAGCGGGACCAAGAAAAAATAACAAAAAGCCACTCACCCGTTCATCTACCGGCACCGGCTTGGCGATGCACAAACGAACTGAACCCATCGGAGCGGCTTTTAAAACGGCAACTGCACGCTCGAGACTGAAAATTCAGAGACGTGCATAGGAAATTCGTGTAGTGAAATACCTGGCGCAGGACAGATCATGTTTATTGACGGAGAGTAGACGATCACCGGGCACGATTCGGCCATCGGCTTGAGCAACACCGCCCGGCACGAGTGAACGTACCACTACTACTGACGAGGCGGGGTGGCGAGGGTCCTGAAGACTCTCTCATGTCTCTCTCTCTCTCTCTCTCTCTCTCTCTCTCTCTCTTTCTCTCTACCCGCCTTATAATCAGCCACCGAGAATCCGAGCCCTCTCGAATCCTTGTGCAACCAGACGACCACCGGAACACATTCCCAAACCGCCAATCCGGTCAACGGCTCCAGCGATCTGGCCCTCATCCGGCTACCCGACGCCCGCGGCTCGTATTCCTCGTCCTGAGGTGTGTACTGTACACTCCATACTTAATAACATACCACATTCGAATCGTCCGGTTGCCGACTACAACTCGGCAAACACGGGTCCGACTTGGCCTTGGTGACCTGTTGACTGGCTGAGGCGAGGAGAGGATAACATTGGGGGAGTGAACCAAGGGGAGCATCACCCGATGGCATCCACATTGAGATCGTTTCTGCCTGAAAATGTTGGCGTGATAGGTTCCGTCATAAAATTCTGATTCCCCAAGGATTTGTGCTAGATCGCCTCCTTCCTTTGGCCTGGCTAGTTTCAAAAGGAGCTGGAGCTCAGGTATAGACAAAAACCTCTCCTAGCCTGCCTCCTAAAGCTTTTTTGCTAGCTTGCCATCCACTTAAACATGTCGGTTTATAGGAGTAGCTTAAAAGATTCCAAAAAGGTCCATGCTAGATCACCTCCTAAAAAATTCTGCTAGGTTAATTTTTCAAAACTCGATTCCCCAAAGATCTTTGCTAGCTTGCCTTCCATCATTTATTTCCTCAAATCTCACCTTTCTGGCAATGACCAGCGTCACGGGGGCGTTCGCCGACACTGCCCGTGCCAGGGCGTCCCTGACGGTGACGTGGGACTCCCCGTAGACGTGCACATGGTTCACCTGGAAGTTCGAGCATATCGTAGCTACGAATTCCTATTCTTTTTCTTTTTCGATTCCCTTGAAGCCAAAACTTTCTACCAACCTGCAGGAGTTCATCTCCAGCCTGGAGAAGCCCGGCGGCAGGTCCGTCTCGTCGGATTGAGCCGATGTAATGGTGGGGGCAGAGGGCGGTACCCTCGACCACATCTACAGTACCCTCCAGGGCGACTCCTAGACCTCCATCACCACCTCCGCCTCCTCGATCGGGGCGGATCACGGATTGGATGATGTCGACGTCACCTAGAAGTTCAGTGATAGAGAGCGGGAGAGTGAGAGAGAAGAGAGAGAGGGAGCGAGAGAGAGCGGGAGAGCGAGAGAGAGGGAGATAGAGAGAGAGCTACCTACCTTCTATCCGCTGCTTCCAAAACGCTACCAATTCCGGATCCGACGATTGCACATCAATGACCTGCGTCTCCGTCTCCTAAAATCAACAAGATTTCGTCGTGCATTTTCCACATTCCGCTACGCTACGCTACAACGACACAATCCCCCAAGCAAGCACCCTTGATTTTCCTCCCTACTCCGATTCCATACTATGGCCAAACCGGGCCCGGGTCGGCTTCTCCTGCACTCGGCCCACTCTGCATTCAAATCAAATTTGGGGCCGCTCTTCTTCCCCTATAGGGTGAGGGCCCAGATTTTGGGTGCAAGTTGTAGGAGAGAGAGAGAGAGAGAGAGCGAGAGAAAGAGAGAGAGAGAGAGAGCCGGCTTCGCCAGGATTGATCCGAATCTTTCTAAAAAAGCGCAAAACGAAAAAATAAATATTTTTAAAGCGACCGTGATGCTAATTATTCCCTTTTTTACCATTTTTAGAGTTGAACAGCTCGAATTTGAGGGTTTTTGGCTGTTAAAGAGCCAGCGACAGCTCGAACCGACTATTTCATGGATTTTTATTTTAAAATGCCAGCACTCTCTATTCTGCGCTATTCTACCGTAATCACAAAAGCCAAAACCACACACGGGCATGCGCTACGGTGGTGCAAAAATTTTGTAAAAATTAGCATACACCGACTTGTCTTTGCAGCATGTTCAGGCAGAGGGCCTGCGGGCTGTCGGCGTGGAAGCGGACGAGGCTGAAAAATTATCCGATTTTCCGGTATCTCTCTCTATCCCTCTCTCTCTCTCGCTTTCTCAGCCTCTCTTTCTCTCTCTTTCTCTCTGTCTCTTTCTCTCTCACCTCAACGCCACCTTCTGCCCACTTCTAACCAATGTCTTCACAGAGTCGGCGTGCGACAGGTGCTCCAACGATTCGCCATTTACCTGGAAATATTTTAATCGTATTTAAATTCTTTTAAGAACCGTCGAAGGCAAAAAAAGTAGGCTGGTTTCCGTACCTTTAGAATTAGGTCGTTCTGGTGGACGAGTTTAGATCTGAGCGCGGCGCTTCCTTTGACCAGACTTTTGACGAAGACACCGCCAATTTCTTCTGAAACTTTGGTGTTTTAAGGGGCTTGGAAGGCAAGGCTTGAGCCGTAAAATCTGCTAATAGGATAGGAAATTAATCATTAAGTTCCCTGGCTCAAATGGTTTCTGCTAGGTTGCCCCGACCAGTCGCTCGATTCCCTGCTAGTTTGCCGGCAAGGATAGTCGGAAATAAAAGCGTAGTTTCCTGCCAAAGCTTCCCAAATGCTCTCTGCTAGCTTGGAGCCCTACCCTACGAAGCCAAAGAGCTACAAAATTCCGATACCGTCGTTGTTGGCTTATCACAGCCAGCTAGCAAATACAAATCAAAACGGCACCAAGCTGCTAAAAAATCCCTAATGATCACGGCCAGCTTGCCACAGCCGCTCGAGGCAAGAGAATGGCTTCACGCCACGAAAAAATTCCCAAATGACCTTTGCTAGCCGACCTAATCAGAAAAAATCATCTAGGGCGACGAAGCCAAAAATTACAAATTTTCAATTGATATCTGTCTGCTAGCTGGCCATGTTCAGCTAATGGAATTTTCGACGGGATGTTGGCCAGAGGGTGATAGAAAAGAAGGACATATTGAGAGAGAGAGAGAGCGAGAGAGAGAGACAGGAGATAAAGCGGACATAGATGAGATCCTCCCCCCAAATTGGGCTACTTGGGGGTGTCAAAAAAGGGCTGACAAGAAGAAGAAGACGAAGCCGATGTGTGGAACGCCCGAAGGGATAGAGGAATGTGATGGACATGGTGCAGATGGAAGGGAGAAGGGAGGAGAACGCAAAAAGGGGAAGAAGCCGAAAACCTAGACATTGAAGAGAGGTGGGGAGCTATAGTCTGACTCGACAGAAGGAGGAGGAGGGGCCTTCACTGCAAAATTGATAGACTTGGCTGGGTGGAGGGGGAGGATGGGACGATGGAATTTCCGGTCGGTGACAACTTCCAGGGGTCTGTGGTCAGCTTTAGGGAAGATTTTGTGTCTTTAAAGGGGTCAGAAAGCCCGCCGAATTGGTGTTTCCGATTATACTCCATTGAAGAGGACGTTGGAGGTGGAAAATTGAGGAGCGGGAGGGGCATGGGAATGAGAATGAGCGAGATTGCGGGAGAGCGAGGCAGAGGGTGATAGAAAGAGGACAAGCGAGAGAAGGAAAGAGAGCGAGAGGGAGTGAGGGATAGAGAGGAGATTTTAAAGGACCTTGCGGTCAAATGAAAGATCTAGAAGTTCTAGAAAATTAAATGTTGAGAGAAAGGGAGAGAAAGAGAGCGAGAGAGAGAGAGAGAGAGAGAGAAAAGGCGAAGGAGAATTATCGACAATAATCTTCCCGAGCTGCCAAATACCCACCATTAACCCATTACGATATCTAATCTCAAAAAACCACAAAATTTCCGTACCTTTCCTATGCACATATCCGGCCACCGTAATCCCAAGGCCCATCGTCGGATGCCTTCCCAGCTCGACCTCCACGACATCATACTTGCCAGCATTTTCCCAGTTCTCCCGCAGAAACACGGTCAGCGCCTAAAAGATGCCCTTATTACAGTACTTCGCGTTCCAGATTTGGTAGAAGAAAGGCCGTTCCGGACAATCGTGTCAAGCTGGTAGACTGAGAGAAGCTATGGTCCCGGCACGGCCCGGAAATATACGGTAGGTGGGGCGGTGTGGAAAAGTTATAAGAAACCGTCAAAAGGAAAGGAAGCAAAAACGGGACACTGTGTTTTATTGTAGTACGCGACACTCCGAAGAGAGTACAGAGTACATAGTACACCTCAGTACGCCTCTTGTTTTTTTACTTCACTCGTTTTTTGGGTTGAAAACCATAGAAAAAAAGCGTAAAAAAGTCGAGTGCTGAGGTGTGGCACAGAATACGGTAATTAAAAATTATTCATGCATTTTTGGTTTTTTCGGACATGCCATGTAAATATTAGACATATTGACACGGATAGGAAAAAAGGTGTCGACATGACATACAGAAAAAAGGTGTTGGTAAGTGGGACGAGACGGCCAGACAATACGGGAGAGAGAGAGAAAGAGAGAGATAGAGAGAGAGAGAGAGACAGGGAGAAAGAGCGAGAGCGAGCGAGAGCGAGCGAGTGAGAGATAGCGAGTGAGTTAAAGAGAGCGCGATGGATAGAGAGATCGTGAGGGTGAGAGAGAGAAAAAAGAGAGGTAGAGTTAGAGAGAGAGAGAGAGAGAGAGTGAGCGAGAGAGAGAAAGAGAACAAGTAAGAACGTTGCCAGGAGAGTGCCGTAAGGAGAAGATTTATCTCAATGTCTACCTTCGCATTTATGGGCGTGCTGATTAGGTGCTAGAAGGGCGGGGAATTTATTTAACGTATCATTTTATACATTAAAATCTCGCTCTGCTAAAATCTTTAAACTAGGTTAAAACTGGCTAAATTTCTTCGCAAATTTAACTAAAGAGACCTACCATCTCTTGAAGAGCCTTCAGCGACATGGTTGGGGAGATCGGGGAGCCGGCTGGCTCGCTAAAAATGTGACTATTTTTTGAACGTTATCTTTTTGTATTTTTACACGTAGATTAAGCAAAAATAGATGCACTAAAAATGCGAAATTCAAGTCTCTCACCTATGCTTAGCCGCCAAGCTAGATTTTCTGCTTTCCGCGGCAATACTCTGCGCGCCGGACGTCCATGGGGGTGTATTGTGGGGCGTGGAGTTTTTGCGAGATTCCGAGGTGGGCGGTTGTGGGGCATTGGATTGAGAGGCTGATGGCTCGGGTTCAGGTTCTGCAGAGTCGGGCTTTTCCTCGGGGACATCGGAAGTCGGCTCGTTTTCCTATAGTTATGAAATTTTAAAGGACCTGGAAGTGCCGAAATTATACAGTTTAGGGGAGGCAGCTGCACGCCTGGCAGTCGCGTCGCGTGCGTGCTCTGCGGTTGACGCGACGCAACCGCAACAAGTTCACGGGGGAAAATGCCAAAATCAGAGACGCAAAGAGCGAGAGGGAGAAAGAGAGAGACAGAGAGAGAGAGAGAGAGAGAGAGAGAACGAGAGCGAGAGCGATAGAGAGAGAGTGAGCGAGCGGGCGAGAGAGAAATCGAACGAGAGAGTTGAGAGCGAGAGGGATAGCGAGAGAAAGAGAGAAAAAAACGAGCGATAAGGAGAGCGAGAGCGATAGAGAGAGAGAGAGAGAGAGAGAGAGAGAGAGAGATAGTACCTTGAAGTTAAAACCCACCTTTTCGGAAGTTGTCGGCTCCAAATGTGCCCTCCGTCCTCTCCGCTCCTCCTCCAGCTGGCTGGGATTCAACGCCGATTTTGTGGCCATCGTCCAGCAGTCTGAAATCAAACAGCTTTCGACTAATTTTAAAGCTTTAAAACTGAAGCTAAAGCGCCGGGAGCCCCCCATGATAATTCCGATTTATTACGCCCAGGCGCTGAATCTCAAAAATTCATCCCAAAAAAGGGTCACAGAATAGAATGGACTGGCTGGGTGAGTGTCGAGACCCCGCTGAAAAAGAAGGAGAAGAAGAAGAAATTCAGGGCCTGTGCTCGGTTGAAATGGTGGAAGGAATTTCGGGTGGCCAATCGAATTTTGCCCCTCCGTCGTCGTGGCGAGACCCCCGCTGAACAGGGACGGGGTGTCCCCAAGGATTGAAGGGGAGAAGGAGATGTACATGGCAGAGAAATTTTTGAGCAACAGGTGATAGAGCATTAAACGGATTGAAATTTCGAGTAAAATACGCATTAATGAGAGCTTTTTGAGAACCCGAACCTTTAAATTTGTCGGGCTTAAACGAAAGGTCTGGCAGAGTTCCCGTGCACGCAACGCACACGCCACGCGTAAGCGATCTGTTGGGCTTGTTGGCTTTTGTAAACCCTTTTGAACAGGACGTATATCTTGTTCAGGTACTTTTGCATTATCAGGCGGGGTTTCGGCGGCTAATTTTTCCAACGGAAATTTCTAGTAACGCATAAAATATTTCTAGTGCCAAATATTTTAATATTTTGAGTAAAATTTAGCCTTATTTCCAGCCAAAACAACTTAAAAACTTGAAAAAATTTTAAAGCGTGAATTTTGGCGAAAAAATCGAGTCTTTGTTTTTTACAAAAATTTCCAAATTTATTTCTATTAAGAATAACAAAAACCCGTGTAGAAATATCTATTGAGGAAAAAGGATGCCAGAGAAATCCCCCCCGATAATGCAAAAGCGAAAGACACAGTGACAGCTTAAAAACACCAACCAGCCGTGTCTTCCGGTTTCTCGGTTCCGTTAATCGGCCGCCCGACGATCATCTCCACCAGGTTCTCTTGTTGGCGCAGAATGGTGGCCACCTAAAAATCTTGATTTTCGAGCAAGAATCGGTATTTAAAAGGCCCGTAAAGCCGTAAATCTATGAATAGTCAGATTTACCTGTTGGCTGGTCATCCCCTGCGTGTTGATGTTGCCCACCTGGAGGATGTGGTCACCGGGGCGGAGTCGTTGGTCCTGAAGCTGTTTTAAAGGGAGATGGAGGGAGATTGGCGAACATTTATGGTTTTTGGCTAGCTTAGCGAGTCCTTCACAAAAATCGCATTCGAAAATCTAATTTTCACGGTGGCTTAGTGTATAGCGAGTTTGCTACCAATCTACGGACCAGGGTTCGATTCCTGTCCATGGCTAATTGTCAACATATCGTTACAAACGCTCTCGACGAGACGAAAAACGACTTTAAAGGGGCAAGGACAGCAAAAACACCGTTTCCGGGTTTTTACGAGAGTCTAGTGGCTAGCGATCTTGGCTGTCAATCTGGGGACCAGGGTTCGATTCCCGGTCACGTCAGTATCGAAAAATAGGCATATCACTCTTTTAAAGGGCGATGGAAGCCAGAAACTCATAGCTTTCCCGATCTTAACGATGGCCCAGTGGCTAGTAAGTTTCGCTACCAATATTGGGTCGAGGGTTCGAATCCCGTGGTCCTGAAATTTTTGCTTCTTGCTAAAAAGCCTCTAACAAACCTTATCAGCCGGGCTGCCGGGCAAAATGGTCTTGACGACGACACCCGTGGACGTGCCGCCAACGATGCCGAACCCGAGCCCTCCGTTCAGCACCTCCAAACGGACCACCTCCACCTGTGTCCATTCACCCGACAGCTGAAATTACATTGGATTTAAGGATACTGTAGATTTGAAAATTTTCAATTTTTCATTTAACCAATTTTAGATTTTTACACTCGACTATAGTTGCTCAAACCTTTGGCCTCAACCGGGGAGAACCATCCTCCGCCCTGAGCACCAGCTGAACCTGGCTGGCGATCATTTCTGGCGCGACATCCGGGTACTGGGCAAAAATTTTTGAGGAAACCAGAGCCAGAAAACCATCGGAAAAAATCAGGAACCGTTTCAAAGAGATGCTAAAGGCAGGAGAGATCGATAAACAAAAACATAGCAAAAAATACCGATTTTCGCATCTAGGCAGCCGAAAAATACCGACAAGGTTTTCGAAAATTTGTCTTAAAGGGATTGCGAAGGCACTATGGCTTTATGGCTGCTAAAAATTGAAAATGCCGCTTTTCGAAAAAATCGAAAAATGCCGATTTTTACTTCCGAATTCTCAGAAATCTCATAAAAAAAAGCTACATAATTTTCGAGAGAAATTCGAACAGCTTGAGATATAGATTTTGTTCTGGAAAATGGTAGGTTCGATGAGAAAAATTCGAAAACCCCCGATTTTCGACTTCTAAAATCCAGGAAAAAGGCCATTGTTTAGGGTTTCTTGAGGTGGGTATAGTCATCCATCCGGTCTCTACCCCCCAAAAGGCAACACAATGGGTGCTCGAGGTGAGGGAGGAGGAGGGGGAGGAGGAGGAGATGTGGAATCGAATCAGACCCATCTCTTCTAGTCACAACCCACCACCCATTCCACCTTGGACCAACCCACAATTGGGCCCTCAAATTGACTCTGGCTCTCTCTCCTTCTCTGTCTCTCTCGCTTTCTCTCGTTCTCACTCTCTTTCTCCCCCTCTCAATCTCTCGAAGTTTCTATGCAAATTGCTTGGCAGCTGGACTATGGAATTTGGTACCGAACCAGGGTTTGGAGGTCTATTAAAGGATTGTGAGAGGAACGTTTGGTCCAAAATGTTCCAAAAATACATGGACACCAACCGTAAAAGGTATCGAACTACGTATAAAAGCAAGATCCGAGCTACTCGGGAGGCTAAGGGGATGGTGACAGCAAAAATGAGCATAAAACGCTTCAACAGACCAAACATGGGTTCTGATCCGTTAGCGGGGGGGATCGGAGATAGACGACTCGGGCTTCCCTTTCGGCCGATTGGAATTCCGCCCCCCCCTCGTCAATGCACTAGAATCTAAAGATGCTCAAAGCGGAACTCTATGAAACGTTTAGCATGTTCTCAAGGGGTGGGTGACACCGGGAATTGGCGAAAAAGCTGGGAAGAAGGCGATTAAAGGGATATTGGCAGCAAGCCGAGACCCAGGGCCAGCTAGCACTGATGATTTGGGATAGGGCTAGGATGGACTGATGCCACGCTAGCAAAGTTCATTGTGGAAATCGCCAAAATTGAAAAATCTTGAGTAATCCCTAGGAATCGATCAATCACACCCGGTGGTCAAACCCTGATCAATCGGCTGTCCGGGCAAAATTAGCGAAATGATCGAGGAGGTGTGGAAAGCGAGAGAGAGAGAGAGGGGGGAGAGGAGAGAGAGAGAGAGAGAGAGACCGGGGCTTATGGTCAGCTGTCCGCCACCTGGGAGAGGTGAAGCCGTAGGGCAGCGGGGAATGATGTTAAAAGGGCGGTGTCCGGAAAAGATGTGCCCCCGGTGTGTCTGAGGGGGGTAGATCGACTCCCAGGGCACCGGTAACCGGATCCGAAGAACAGCCCATCCCCCCTCTACCCCCCTCTACGTCCAACCATCTTTATGTTCGCGGCCAGGAAGGCGCCAGGGGGAATTTTCGAGGTGAATTCTGGAATTCAGGCTATATTAAATCAACCTCAAAAAAGAAGAAGTTGTCAGACGTAACCTTTTTGCAGGTCTACGGTTACCACGAACGGTTTTTTAGCGACGGTAATAAAATTATTAATTATTAATTATAAATTCAGACTCTAACAAGGAGACGTTTTTGAGTGTCGTCGGGACTTTGGCACGGGACCAAGCCTGTCTTGTGCAGAATTTTACGCTGATTCCGAATATGTTAACCGTTTTTGCGGAATAGCCATTTCTCGAAAGTTATGGACGATTTAAACCTCAAAACAGCCCAAATCGGCTACTTTCGATAGTTATAAAAGGCTTCGCAATAAGTTTTAGACAAAATCAGATAGGTCATCTTGTACAGAAAAAATTCTCTATAAAATAAGCTACTTAATTCGAAAATGCTGGAATTTTGGAAATTTTTGTAAAATTGGGGACCTCCCAACTTCGCTGAAAAACTCGCATTTCGAAAATCAGCAACATGACATTTTTTTTTACAAAAGGTTGGCACGTAGCCAAAAGTTCAAAGCCGCCGAAAGCCATATGCCAATTATAGAATCAGAGAGAAAGCGAGAGAGAGAGAGAGCGAGAGAGACAGAGAGAGAGCGAGAGAGAACGAGAGAAACAGAGGCCCGGGCCACAAATCTCAGGGGACCCACTGACTGGCTGCGGAAATTAGCGGAATGTGGGAACGGCTAAAAACAGCCAGAGTGATGGATGGAATGGGTGGAAAGGTCTGGAAGGAAAGGAAACATACATACGGCAGGTGAAACACGAGTTCGAGCTGGTCAGGAAAAAGTTGGAAATTCAGTAGTTTTTGAATGGGATCTTGATCGACTAATTTTATTACCGCAGATGCGAGAGAGAGAGAGAGAGAGAGAGAGAGAGAGAGAGAGAGAGAGAGAGAGAGAGAGAGGGAGACGAGAGCGAGAGAGCGAGAGAAAGAGCGAGAGATAGAGAGGGATAGAGAAAAACAAAAAACAGAGAGGGCGAGATAGGTGAACTTCATGAAATTCCAAAAAAACACGTCAAGGAACGCTTTTTTACATAGCATAAATCTATAAAAAACCCACCACCATGGGGGTGCTTTCCCGTAGGGCGGCGACAGCGACGGTGACGCCGGTGCGCACGCAGCGCCCTGCGATCCCGCTCCACTCGGCCTGCAAAAAAAATCAGATTGTTTCCGTTGTAAAGAATTGTTTTTCTTTACCGAAAACGAAAATTTTATGACGTCACCACGCGTCAAAAATAAAATTAAGGATTTTGTAAGGGAGAAGACACTTTAAAGGCAAGGATTTTCGGAACAATAATTTTTCATCGAAAAAAAAGTTCATGACTGTGTCGGGTTATGAAACTCCTATTCTTTATTCGGGACTTCTAACGAATCGAATAGTAAAATACCGACAATAACGAAATGTCGTAATCAAGCTCAATCGAATTTTTTCAGATTTTTAAATACGATTTTTTCAATTTTAAATTTTTTAAACCAAATTCTTGGAAAATTTTCTACGATTTAATCGGATCGCTATCAAGGGAAAAGAGGATTAGAAAAGGAAATTCATGGTTTTATACTGTTTTCAGACAAGATTCGTAATTTCGAGGAGAAATCCGCTGCTTTCCTGCCCCTTTAAAGTTAAGAAAAAGTAAAAAAAACGTGCGGCAACTATCAAAGACAACATCCCCCGCATCGATACAACCACCCCGGAGAAACATAATGCCAAGTGGTGTGCGTGTGTCGTGCGTGTCTATAGGACTGCCCTGGAATCCGGGTGGGCCCCCCGATCTTTGGGAGGGGACCATGGATATTACTGGGGGAGGGCCAAAGGGGGGAGGAGGAGGAGGACAAGGGACATTCGAACAGACGAATATACTCTTTCTCTCTCACTCTCTCTCCCTGTCTCTCTCACTCACTCACTCTCTCTCTCACTCTCTCTCTCGCCAGGTCCTTGGCCACCGATAGATGGCCACAGGACGACGCCGTCAAAAATTATGATGGTCTCATTGGCACGTTGAGGAGGAGGAGGAGGGCCCGGAAATGAGGGCATCATTATCGGGTCCCGGGGAAATGGATAGGGCTGGTTGATGGATATACGCCAGCAGAATTCTGGCGAAAATCTCGATAGTAAAATGCCGACAGCCAAAACGCCGACGGCCGAAAGTTCGTATCCCGAAGTTCGAATCCCGACAACCGTAGTCCGAACACTTGACACTCTGACGCTAAACTCTCTAAATGGCAAAACCCCGACAGCAAAAAATTCTGGCAGATGAAAAATCTCGACAACCATTATCGCTACAGCAGAAATGCCGACATACCTAATCGCGAAAGCCAAAATACCGACAAACATAGCCACGACACCCCAAAATCCCGAGATTAGATGACCGACGCGAAATTGCCGACATTACTCGTAGCGAAAATCCCTACAACTCAAATCCCGACGGCCAGAATTCCGGCAGCCAGACAGCCTAAATGACGATAGCCTATCCTGTTGATTTTCGGCATTATGGCTGTCGGCATTTTCGCATGTCCGGATTACTACGTTTTACGAGTTTTACGCCCGCATAATTGCTAAAAAATGCTAAAAAATACAAATGAAACATTTTCTGTCCTTGATTTTATTCTAGAAGCTCTTTTTTTCATTTTTTTCCTCATAAATGCTCATACAAATATAACTTTTTTTTGTGGGCATTTTTCATATCTAGCCGAAAAAGCAGAAGCCCGGCAAGGTGTTGCTTGGTTCCCCCATGGGATTCCCCCTGCCTATTGGCTGCATAAAATGACAAGCCGATGGCAGCACCCCGTCATTCCACTCGACACCTATGGACACCCCGTCAGAACATTGAGACTCACCCTTAGTAGTGTGAGGGTGCTGTGACAGGCCTCGTCGCCGGCCCGCGTACATTCGGACCCTGAAAATGAGCTCGAGCATTGAGGGACCTGCCGGAATCCGAATCCTAGGAGATTATGAAACTGTCGTCATCCGTTTAAACGGAGAGAGAGCGAGAGTGACAGAGAGAGAGAGTGATAGAGAGAGAGAGAGAGAGTGAGAGTGAGAGAAAGAACGAGAATGAGCGAGTGAGAGAGATCACTTACCAGTGGGATGGAGCAGACGATGAGGCGCGGCAACGGCCAGCCACCGATCTCCGATCCGGACAGCGCCACCGCTTCTGAAAAAATGGTAGAAGTTGAGTTTCATCTTTAGTAATATCGATGCATCGACCATCAAAACCCAGATTTGAAGCGCCAGAGCGAGAGCAAGTTATGACAGACAAAGCGAGAGAGCGAGGGAGAGAGATAGACAGGGAGAGCGAGAGAGAGAGAGGGAGAGT